CAAGTATCTCCAGATGCCTCTGAGCTCACTGACCACATTCAAACTTGTCTGGCTCTTTCTACACAATTTAGCAGTGACACAGAAACCCAGCCTTGAAATTGTGAAGCCACTTCTTTTCTCTCGCAGGTGAAACCTGGGTGCTTCTTCCAAGACCTCCACATGCCAAACTCCAGAGAGTCTGAAGAGTCTCAGAGCTGATGTCTCCTTCTGGGCAAAGGCAAACCATGTGCTGAACACTAGAATAAGCTGGCAGAGAACTGAATATTGGCTTTGTATTTTGGTAATTAACAAGGGAACAGTGGTGCAGGTAAACACTGCAGTGCCTCTTACGGAATCAGACGTACTTTCCATGAGAAAATACAGTGACTTGTAATTTTTAAATGTGAGTTTCAAAGGCTTTGCTAAAAGTTTCCTACTCTTGTACTTAAAAGTAATGAAGCATCTGTGTAAGAGTAGCTTTGGATCTTCCTTTACTTCCTTAGTCATTCACCACCCAGTGTAGCGGACTTTGCTGTATAGTGAACACTCTTCAGGCTAGGTATGGACACTTACTAGAGAGGGTGGGGTAGAGAAAATTTTAAATGTGGATCACAGAGTACATCAAGCCTTTGGAGGTCTGGGCTTGACCTTTAATGATAGGACAGGCAGCAAGACAGACAATTTTGCCCCCTAAAGCTATGTACATAGGTTGAATGGCTGCAGTTATGCAGGTGTGCTGGTTCAAATGATTCCTATCTGGAGAAACCAATCAAGAATCATCCTTTCTTTCACTGGGTAAGACAAGAATCCATTTCCTAGTGATTGCTATGGCAGTTGGAGTCTTCAGTTTGGGATTTGTGACTTCTTGACTCATTTATCAATACACTACGTTTAAATTACAGGTGTAGAACTTACGTACTTTTCACAGGCATAAAGAATATATACGTGATGTAAAACTCTACATAGACACATAACACACAGAAGAAGTATTTGTAAGGACATTTACAACAAATGGCACTAAACACCTTTATTAAGATTTTAATTTTTCTTTTATGAAAAATGAATAGGATTCTTTTTTTTTCCCTTGTACACAGAGGAAGAGCAAACTAATGGAAAAAATCAAGAACACTTTCTTATTTCAATACTATCTTTGTAGCCACAAAGATACAACTATTTAACAGAAAAGAAATACTGTTTATTGCAGACTTTAAGCTGATTCATGTGAAAAAGGCACTATGAAACTTAATCAAACTAGGTGATTAAATTTGTCTACATTAAGTGATATTATATATTATATATAATACATATATTATATATAAAATCACACGACCATGTGAAATAACAGAATATTTTGTGACAAAAATCATTGCGTCTTCAAAAATAATGTTTGCTGGAAGGGATATTTCCTTTTCTCCCCCTTTTGCTTCCAGGAAAACACTTTTCCAAAGATTACATTTATAAAGGAACAATAGCTTTTTACATAAGGAAAAACTGACATCTGGGATTGACACACAGAGAAGTCTAGATTATACACTGTTCTTTTGATGGGTTAAGTTACAGAAAAAAAAAATGCAAGTATTTAAAAAAAAAAACCCCGACATAAATTGTTTCATGGCTACCTACAGGAGATCTGATCACCTCTTTGAGCTGAGTTGTATTACTATTTTCTGGTTACTCCTTCTTCTGCAATTTTATAGTTCATCACTAGTGAAGTATTGATAAAATCAATGTACAGAGTATTATTTTGCTATAAACAGCATCGTTAGTAATAAAACATGTTGGAAGTGATGCAAGAAAGATTCAGTGTATGTTGGGCTGCTGTTCATTCTCTAAACATTTCCTCTCTGATTGCTGGCATCAACGACTTAAGTAAACATCCTGCAGCCAAATGCATGACAAGAAGGACTGAGCCAAAAAGACATAATTGCACACTACAGCAAGAGATGGGATTCAGAATCTTATTATTACTGAAGGGTTCAAATGCTGTTTTATTGCTGGCTCAGCTTCCCTTGGATGAATCACGAAGATGCGTTCCAGTTTAACTGTCATGTTAATTCCATAAAGCAAAGACTCATCTTCGTGTGTAAATGAGTCATGTGCCAATATTTTCACCTGTCAGGAACTTCCACTGAATTTCTCATCTGTTCATTTTTAATGATGACAAGCCAGCAGCAGGTACTTCTGTGGAGACTACTGTAAATTTTCTTTATGGTGGCTAGTTACATCTATGATATAGTAAGACATTCCCCTTCACTGCTTCCTAAAGCAAAGCTGGGTGGTACAATGCTATGGACAATAGAATTAAAGAGGAAACACATTTAGTGGCTGCTTCCTTCATCAAAGGACTCCACACCTGAATCTGTGGCAGCTGCACTGATTTTTTCTTGTCGTCTTCTCATAATTTCTTGCAGTTCTGAACTACCACTGTTAGCCTATAAACAAATAAAAAAGAAAAAGACTTTATTTGTGGTTTTGACATGTGATGAAGTTTCTCTGCGGCATTTTATTAAGATAAATGTTTGAATAAATCAAACTCACCTTGCAACCCCAGAACTAAAAATGCACTAAGAATCTGGTTAAATAACATTTGGAATAAGAAAGTATTTACACTATCCTTAAATACGGACCAGGAAAGAAACTGCAGACTATTAGAAATGTCAGCTTGACTTTCAGCACTTCTGAGCATCTCCAGTTCTCATGCAAGCCCCTGGAAGTGTTGGATATTTACAGGGTGAAATATGGCTTCAGTAAAAGCAGAATTAAAACTCAGCAAGTTTGTTAAGATTCCGCCCTTGAGTATTTAAAAATCAGGACAATCATATTTAAAAATTAAAGCACATAAACCCTCAGTGGTTTTAGATTTATGTAAACACAAAATTCACACATGCACATGGGTTTGCACAGCCAAGGCCTAAGTAAGGATCCACAGCTTCTCTGGTGAGACACTGGCACAGGTTGCCCAGAGAAGCTGTGGCTGCCCCCTCCCTGGCAGTGTTCAAGGCCAGGCTGGATGGGGCTTGGAGCAACCTCGTCTGGTGGAAGGTGTCCCTGCCCATGGCAGTGGGTTTGGAACTGGATGATCTTTAAGGTCCCTTCCAGCCCAAACCATTCTGTGATTCTATGATTCAGTCTTAGTACCGCATATTACACAATACAGCACCATGCATTTGCTGTTCAGAGAAACAGGATTCAAACTTAGAGCACAGTAATAAAAATTGATTCCTATTATAGGAACAGTGAAGTATTGTGAGGACAAGGCTTTATTTCACCTTTTAGGGTGAAAAACATGTTGGCTGAACTAGTTGCAAACAGATTGCTTTGACAATGTAAATGAAGTTATTTGCAAGGCCAGGGCACATATCCACTAGAGCAGAACTTTCCAAAGTGTGCATGACTTTGAATAAAACTAGAGGATTATAAAGCAAGAGCCATATCCGCTACTGTGTTATTTGGCTACGACATGACCTTCCAAGCTTCAAAGCCTCCAAAATAACGTCTGGATAAGGAAGCAGAAACTGTTTTTGAAATTTGTAAAACAAATTTCAGGACTGTTAAGGGGAAAATCCTTCAGTCGATTCTGAACTCTGAAAATGTATCTCATTTACATAAAATTTAATTTAGATTTATCCCCTTTTCTCAATTACAATGCCTTATCTGATGCCATTACCTGGTAGACAGGTTAGGTGGCCACAGGGAGGGAAGCTAGGATGCTTCTCCTAGGGAAATTACCATTGCTCTCTTCTCCCAGAGTGGAAGGGCAAAGCAGAGGGCTTATAATTGACTCTCTGAAGGTGAGAGCAGTTTTATTTGTCTTAATTCATCTTGTCCTTGCCCCCTTGGTCTCAGATACAGAGCAAGTGCAGCAGTCACCCATTACTGAAGTCATGCATAAAAAAACATCAGCAGATACTCAACAACGTGCTTTATCAGAGGTCACGTAGAAATATTTTTCTGGAAAATGACTGAGCAGTCAAGGCTGAAGCAGTTTACCTTCCTGATAACATCAAGTACGACATGACTGATGAGCTTGAAATGCTGCTCAACTAAACCAAGTGCAATACATCACGTGGCACAGCACAACAGGCACATCTTACTCTGAGGCAAGGTATGGCATAGCTAAGTAGCCTAGGGCTGTTCTTAGGAATACAATTTTTGGAACAGACTGCTAGACCTTGGCTGTAGTGATCTACCCAGCTTAGTCTCTAACCAGATCATAAGGTATCAGTAAACTCCATTATTTCATCCCACTTCTGTGTCTGAGTCATTCCTTTCACTGAGGTGTCAAAGAGAAGAAGCTATTCTTCCAGGTAAATTTGATACATAAATCAGAGAGAAAACATTTTCAGTTTTAAAGCGATGTATGCTCATGCTTCCCGTTGATGGAACAGGAAGACAATGAGGATGTGGACATGAAGTGTTCCCTTCTGGAGACGACAAAGGTGGTGGTCAGAATATTGTGTCTCTAAGCTTATCTTCTGTAGCGCTTTTCAACACCAGAGCTTGAAATGCTCAACAAAAGTTAATGAAATGGACACATAAAACCTAATAATCACAGAGACTATTAATATTCTTACTTTGCAATGAAAAAATAAATCCATATATGACCAGCCAAGTTGCTGTAATGCACTGTACTTGGCATAGGTGAACTTCAAATCTCTGGAGCAGTCCCAGCAAACGGCTCCTGAGAGGGATACTCTGATCAGTACAAAGAGTGTGGTGCATCCTGCCTCCTCCTGAGACACCGCTGCTTGCCACCACTGTTTCCCCTAGCAGAAAGGAGGTGTTTGGCCCTGGCTATGGCCAGCTCTCTGCTGTCTTGACACACTGTTTTCTCAGAGTTGTCTTTCTGCTTTTGTTTGGCCAGGCCCAAAAAGATTCAAACACCTTCTCCATACTTGCAGTCTGTTACTGGTGACATTTATATAGGGGCCACAAAACTCCATTAGCAATCTTGCTTCCTTGGATGTTTTAAACTCTGGTGTGATTCAAAGCTGAATGGAATTACCATGAAAATAAAGTAAAAACAACTGAAAGTGGGGCACATATTAATTCTTTTCCTCACAAGGGTAAAATTACTAAATTCCAACAACAATTGGAATTCCAATTACAAAATACTGAATTCCTCAGCCTGAGGTAGAAGAACACTAAAAAGAAAACTGCAGCTGCATAAAGGTGAAAATCTGTTTGTCTGTATTTGGGAATGCAGCCCCAAATCTGAGATGTAGGCCTTTCACTGGCTTGCAGAAATAGTACGAACCAGAAACACTTGTGGAAGATCCTGAGTAGAAATAGCAAATAAAGACAAGGCATGAAGTTCTGTAATGCTAGAGTGTGGGGGGTTTGCTCTGTCTCTGGCTGTTATTGCTATTTGTACTTAACACCTAGGTCATTTACTGCAATATGAGACCACAAGTACTACATAAAGGATGCCCGAGAACTTAATGAAAATTACCATTGATTAATCATGTAGGACAATTATGGTGGTCAAACCCATAACCCAGTAACTGCTTATAAAAAGCATTCAACTGTAAAATAGACCTGACACTGGTGCAAGTACGTGTGTGTTTAAATGTTCTGTTACTAGAAACATTTCCAGTTTAAGTACTAAGAACATAGCCCTTTTTGGAACACGCAAGCTCATCTTTTCTAGGTCACATGTAGACATTTTGGCTGTGATACTCATAGCTTCTCTTAAAGAAGGACAGCCTTTCTAAAACCTGCAACTTGAAGTATTATAGGGACAGAAAGGAAGATGTGACAATGTTTTGCATAATTCAGCAAACAACAAGCTAAAGCAATCAGGAATTGCATAAATTCTCAAGTTCATCAGTTAAGCCTCAAATAACTGAGAAATAAATATTTCAATTACCTTTTCATTAACAAAATTCAATGGCCTTGTTAAACTCTCAGTACCTGTTTATTAACACTTGTAGAGCATTTATTAGACAAGTGTTGTGTGCTCAGTTTCCTGCAGAACGAGACTTAACTGAGGCAAGCAGAATAACATCATGGAGGAAAAAAGGACAGACTTCTACAGTCCAGTGCATCTCTACTTTTCAAACTGACTTCCACCACAAAGGCACTTCCATTTCAGTACACATATATCTTCACTAGGAAATGATGGATTGCTCTGGACTGTAGTGACATATATTCCTAAGAAAAGTGAAATATTTCTTCCTCTCACAGGAAAACAGGGCTTGAAGAAGGGAATAAAGAAATTTTAACAGTGTTAGAAAGCAATGCGCTCCGATCCACACTAATCAGGTAGATTGTAAAATACGCATCATCATCAACTTGTCTTTAAAAATATGCCGGGTAGTTAAAGCTTAAAGTCATATAAGTGAGACAGTCCCAGCTTCATGAAGGGATAGAAACACATTTTAAACGTCTTCAAGGTTTTCTTTTAAACAGGATGTGAAGAATATAGCTTCTTGTTTGGGTTAGTCTCACCTCTAGACAGTATCGAGTCTATTTCTCCACTTGCCACAGCAAGTTTTAAAAAAGTAGATGCACTCGCAACTATCTTGGTTTAAAATTGGTAAGCATTCTTCCTAGCACAGCTCTGTATACAAACTTTTGGGGTGGTTAAGGAACAATACTACTGTAATTAAAGCAAACTTCCGCAGAGCAATGAATACAGAGACACAATACTTTTATCCTTAGCTCAGTAATTCTGCTAGCACAGTGTCAAATGTGGTTTCCCCTACTTAGGAACCCACCAAGAGAGATGCCCCAGTGTTTGACCTGAAAGGCCTCGAGATTCAACAGTGAGCTCACTCTATCACTTCCTCACACCTAATAAGTCAGATCTCTACAAAGATAAAGCAAAACAAACTCATCCCCACCAAAAGTACCAGGAGTACCTGTTTGTCCAAGTACCAGGCAGAGCAAGAAGCAAGAAAGAAAAAGGGCATTTTGCTCTCTCCTGTTGTTTTCCCCAAAGGCCTTTTCAGCTCATTTTGTCTTCTTGCAGCCTGATTACAGCATACAATGTCTTAAACTTGATTTCGACCATGCGCTTTCTCTAACGCTTTGTGGATGCCTTTAGAAGTGGGGAGAGACCCCACCTGATGTTTTGAGGGATGCTGTTTCAGTGGTTTAATACTAAATAACTCAGGTGCAAATAATGCTTATCAACGTGATGGGAACTGAGTTAAAACAGCTGCCTCACAGAAAGAGCTATTTACTGCTAGAGGTTCAAAAGCAGTGACCAGGCATTAGGTTAGTAAGAAGGGGTATACGTACCTCCAAGGCAGATTTCTGTACCGTAATTTGGCTGTAGACTCTAGAGCCTTCTGGGCAAACAGTCCTCAGTTCCTCTTTATTGAGGGAGAAAAGCTGAGCACCCGTCAGCACACCAAGGCTATTGACAGTCCTGGGATCACACCAAAGGAACAAACAAGAAATAAGCAAAAATACACTAGGCCAAGGGAGAGAAATAGGTTGGCTTCATCCCACATGGTCTCAGGTAGGCCTACTAAATCAAGACAAAATTTAATGCAACATGGCCCTTGAAGTCAATTCAGTATCCACTACAAGTACCTTTTGGTGGATGCTAATATATACAATTTTTTTTTCTCCTAAATATATCTCTATAGATCTATAACCACGTTGATATCTATGGCCATATATATACATAAATATATATGTATATATATGTAAAAAACCAAATTCTTTTTTCCAAGCGTGCAAGCTGACATGTCTTGATTTTCAGAAGGCTGCTTGGTTTTAAAAAGTGGTCAGACTACGTCCTACTTACTGACAGGAGAATAATTTTAATAACTTTTCTTACATTCACCCTCGAACTTACACAGGGTTGAATCCTTTGGACTGCAACCATGCTTTCACATCCTCAGGTGAAGAGTCATAAGTGATGTTAACTACTGGGATGTTTGGTCGTGGCACATGGAACTTCCTCTGGGCAGCGCTCCGGCCGATGGTCAGCCGGTGGACAAGTTCATCCTGCACCTCCTCCATCTGCGATTTCCTGCCTGGAGAGAGAGATGCCCCCCAGGAGTTATTCTCAAGGTTGCTTTATCAAAGCCAGGTAATTTCTTATACTTCGCTTTAAAACTTAAACTATTTTTTTTCTTTAAAGATTCATTCACTAGATCTGACTGAATTATTACTCTCCTTTTTCCCCAGGGAAGATTTCAACATTCCCACTCCTCTCTTTGTGAAACAAAAGAAAAGCAAAAAAACCCAAACAAACCTCAAATTCAACTGAGACCCCCTAGGAAGAGGAGATAAGCTTGATGTCACACAGATCAGTCTGACAGCACCCAAGCTGCAGAAAATGAGCACGAAGGGTAATTCAATTGTCATAGTCTGCGTTTCTTCAAATAGAATTATGGTGTTTTAAAATGAAAACAAAAAAAAAATGAGGAAGAATATAAGATAGCTTACACCGTGGAAAGGCATCACTTTCCACAAAAATTTTTTAATTGAAAACTCAACTTTTCAGTGCAAATCAATGTAGGCAAAAAAATTTCACTGCTGCTGACACCTTACATCTAATAAGCTATTATAATTATCACATTTTTGAAGGGGTTTTAAGAAATTTGAATTCACTCCAAGCCTGGAGTGACTGGTTACCTGAAACAATGTCACACTTTGCATTAAAAAAGGAAGAAAGAATAAAAAAAAAAAACAACACAAAAAACCCCCACCAAACCCCCCCCAAAGTACTTGCTCTCACACAGGAATTGGTAAGACTTATTTGTTTTAAACACAACTTTACATGTTTGCTATCCCACAGAACCCATTTGTCTGAAGCATTTAGTTCAGTTGCTGGTCATTAGCAGGCAACAAACTGAAATGCTTTTCATGCATTTAAACAAAACCAATTATAATGAAACTGAAAATTGTTTAAAATGCACATAAAAAGTTCTATAGAAAACTTCACAAAAATAGGCAGAATCCAAAAGGGTGTAAATATCTTTTTGGACACAGAGAAGTTACTGATTTAGAACAGTTAAACTCTACTTCCAGCAACTCTGCAATTACTATAAAAGTACTTTGACACACAACTTTAAGTGATCTCAAAAATTCTCAGGATTTCCTTGCCAAGATATTTTTAGTCATCTTTACTCAACCTTCTCACTTTGATACACGAACAGTAACTACAGTGCCTTCTCTGATGCAATCAGATGGCAAAGGCTATTCCTTTTCTCCTATTATACCAATAGCAACAGAGGAGAATGACACAACTTCAATATGAAAATAAGATAGCAAACATGTTTCTTCTTCTACTTTTATCTTCTCCCAAAACCTCTCCAAGGATCAACATCTCTAGCCAGTTAGACGAATAAAGCAAGCTTTACATAGACTTTCACGATTCCTTTTTTTTTAATCATCACAACAAAACAAGAGAATTCCTTGGTTAATCCTTTTTTCTTTTACAAAATAGCTCCAGGTTGAAAGTGGAGAAAATATCTTTAGTAAAATATTTGAGGCATTCAGGCCCTATTGTGTTGGGTTTTCTTCCCCCAGCGTGTGAATCAGAAGCCAAAATGACATGGGCTCAGTGATATATTGAGGTCTGAGACGGGATATATGAGTAAAGACTTCAGGCAATATTATTGAAGCATGCATCGGTTATTTTCCCAAACAGGAAGAGAGCGAGCAAATCGCTATCTTCTTTCTATTTACACAGATTTTGAAAGACTTATGTTTTATCTAGACCAAGACTATATCAAAAGATAAATATTTAGCTGTTAGATAACAGATTCTTACTGTTGTTAGATGCATTATCATAAATAAACACGATACCCTCAGTGTGAAGCGGGTACTACATTGCATGTTCTCAGCAGGGTTCGGGTGGGTACTTGGGCAGCAGGTGTACGGGCAGAGTTGCCCATTACCTTTGCAGAGGCAACTATTCTGCAAGGACCATGAGGTACCTGAAGCCCATTAACTGGGCTTGAGCAACAACTTCTGGGAAGAGCTCTCAAACATGGCCCAGGGCTTCAGTGGAGGCTAAGAGGGCAAGAGATGTCTCATAACCACTTAGTCTACAGCAACCCTTCACACCTCACACCCTGTAACTGAAGCCAGGATGGTCTTCACATTTTCCATCTGTAATGGATAGAGAAGGCCTTCAGATTCAGGGGAACACAGCTGTTACAGCATGCAAAGTCCTTACATGGAAATAAAATGATCATTTGTGTGTATGTGTGTGAAACTCACCCTTACTTTCCACATCTTTTATAACTCTTTGGATTTCTGTTTTTAAAGTAACAAACTGCCCAGAATAGGACACGGGCAGAAGCTGGCCCTACTGTTTCTCTAAGGAACAGCAGTGAAGCCTGTTCCTCCTCTCAGGCTGCTTGTTTAAAATTTCCAGCCAGCCAGTCTGTTATGTGAAAATATTAAAAAGGTCCCAGTGCCTTCTCGAGTTCAGAGCTTAGGTGAGAGCTTGTCCACCACCAGGCAATGTCAAATGAGATGCCACCAACTGAGTGTGGTTATCCAAGCAGGCATGCTTCCCACCCACTGGGGACAGGGGGGAAAAGAAGCCCTACTGCAGACACTATTATGCTTGGTGCCAGTTTTTACTTCAGGTGGAAGTGGAATTTTCTGATAAGGCAGGGAGGCAGTGGATGGGAAAAGCTGTCAACTCTTGAACTGCAAAAAGCTCATCATTTTAACAGCTATTACTTTAATAGCTATAGCAAATGCTTGCCTACAAGTTTTAGTTATTTTTAAGCCAAGCAATCACATTGCTTAAAGTGCATTTAGGACAGAAATTATTGACTAAATAAGTTCTCCTAACCTAACCTGCTTTTCAGTCAATACAGAGGAGGAGCCTCAGCAGCAGTTAGGCTTTATATTTACAAAGTGGCCTTAAGAAGAACTTTTAATGACCACCACACACTGCTGGATGCAGATTACCATGTTTTTCCAGATAATGGGCTACGGAGTATCTTCTCTTGTCCTCCTAAGACAAGGACATGAAAGTTTGGCTCAGTGGCCTGCCAGTTGCTTTGACCAAGCTAAGGGGACCCAAGTATAAGACAAGTGTCCTACAACACTACTGCAACATGGTTCCTATGTATCAGCCAGACCTGCAAGTCTTCTTGCAAGCCTTGGATACATGTTCGAGAACGGTGCAAATGCCCTAGAAGTACAGATGACCATGGATAGAAGTGTAAGAACAGCTTAACTGATTTTAAAAGAAATTCAGGTTGTAATGAGTTCAGGTGGAAAATGTTAGACAGAATACCAGCATGGGCATTTACAGTGTTGAAAAAGTCGCTGAAGATCCCGGACAGTCATTAAAGGAGGGGATTTAGGACTGAGACAAGCACAGAAGTGTTTTGTCCCTACTTACCATTGTGATTAGGGAGGGTCGGAACACACATACATAGAAAATGTGTATTATAAACATAGGGTTAAAGCTAAACATTTCATAAACATTTATCTGAAACACAAGGTTTTAAGGAATTTAAGGATGAAGCAAAATACACAGGAGTGGGAGAAATCCTTTTTTTCTTGCTGCTTAGACAAACTTACGATCCACAGGGACTTGCTTCTGCCTCTGGGTGTCTCGTGCAACACTACCACCACTGTCGCTAGAGGTGCTGCTTTGGCGGCTGATGGTTGCTGGTGCTTTGGGCACAGGAACTGGTATAGGTGCTGGTGCGCTAGGAGGGAGGGGGACAGCCACGGGGACTGGAGCAGGTGTGGGAGGTGGTGAAGGAGTAGCGGGAACTGGATCAGGTTGCTTTGCAACGTAGTCTGTCCTTTGTTTCTGAAAAGACGCAGAGATACTCAGTTTAACAACAAAACTTGGACAAGAGATCGGACAAACTCAGGTTTCTGCAGAAAATGCTGGGATGCATCGCACCAATTGATTTCCTTTATTAGACAGAGACATCTTACTTGCCATATATAGTTCCAAAATTTGCCAAAACTTGATTTGGCATCAATGTTTGGCATCAATTTCCTTCTCCCTCAGATACAAAATTCACAGCAGTGGCACCATCTGAAACATGTTTCTTTCCTTCAAATAGGTGAGTTCTATAAATTAAATTGTTTTTAAATTCCAAAATTCTATTACCTGGCACCTTTTAACAGCTTCCAAAAATTTGAATTGTTGGACTTCATCAGTGTAAAAATCTGTATTTTACAGATGTTACGTAAAAAATAGTGACAAATGAACACATCCAGCCACACCTAAGCCTGACCAATGGTTTAACTTACAAACATCACTGAGGTTGGGATAACACACAGTTCCTTGAACTGCAGACACCATTTAAGATGTTCCTGCTCCTCTTACCCATTCAGTTGTGCCTTTTCAGCTACTTGTGTAGTCACTACATGCCACCTCAATACAATAACCCAATTAAAACACCCAAACCACAAACTCCACAATTCTGGGAATAGGGCTGTTGTTTCTTTTCCCCTACTTTACGCAACATGCAAATTATCTTGCTGCTAATAACTACCTAGCAGATGTCTCAAGAATAATTCTGGAGAATAATTTCTTTTCTCCTTCTTTGCCTTTAGCATGGTGCCTGTTAGAGGAAGATGCATGTATTTTCCCAAAGCAATCCCAATGACAGACAAGCTCAGAAGCTCATAAGCAATCTCTGCTACCCTTTTCTTTCAAACAGTTCAAACTCCACATCTCACTGTTTTAACAGTGCTCCCTCTCCGCAGTTTTGGACTAACACAGCTTGAAGGTTTAATATTAAAGTTTGTTTGCTCAATAGGGATGCCTCATTTCTTAGTTATGAGAAGTCTGCTTACTTTGGTATGAAAACAGATGAGTACATTCCCCAGATTCATTGCTCCTTCCTGAAATACTTTTCCCTATTTCCTTGGAGGCAGAGGATTTACGGCAGATCAAGTGGGGAAATATTTGTAGGAACCATTCCTGAGCAGCAGATCACTGCCCTGACAACAATCAAACTTTCATTAAATGTCAGTAACTGCCCTTATGCAGGAATCTCCAACTCAGTAAGTTTAACTGATGGACAAGGTATTTTGTAGTGAAGGTAGACTGGGCCCATTACAGCTAAGCTATGCTGAGCTACACCAGCAGAAAATTTATCCCATCAGCTTCTATGCCTGGCCAACTAAGCCTAGAGAAAAAGTCTTTTGTTTGCCTTAGATAATTTTTCACTTAAATTGTAGTAGTCAGCTACTGAAGCAAACATATAGTCTTACAATACAATCCCCATTAAAACTTTTTAAGTTATTTTTCCTTAGCATTTAGTTGTTCAAAGGCATTCATCTCAATTATTGCATGGCCACCTTGTGCAGTGCATTGCAGGGATATTTAAAAAAAAAAAAAACAATCATATGATTAACTTCTCTGTATTCTACCACTTCAATGTTAAGACAATAAACTCTTTTTTAGATGTCAAATGCCAAGAAAAGCGAAATGCATAACATAAAAGAGAAGAAGCAGAATAATGTATATTTAAGAAACCTGTCCTTTGGAGGAAAGAGAGTGTCCTACTAGGTATATAGTAAATACTGTGGTATATCCAAAATCTTGTTAATGAATTCAAAATTTTCACAGATATTAAAATGTTCTCATGATATTCAGATTTTATTTTTTTTTAATTTTGTTCACAGATTCCAATTGCTAGCCTGTTATCCCCACAACGTACCCTCATGTGTGCCCCGACATTCTTAAACAACATGCAAGGAAAAAGCAGGGCTTTTTTTATGGCAGAGGGGATTCATTACAAACCAAGGCACCAACTGCACATCACCACAAACATAATCCAGAAAAAGTGATAGCTAAACACTACACGTAGCTCTCACTGGATGCTACTGATGTAGTTTCAAAAACATATTGTACTGCAATCAAGCCTCATCAAAACGACTTGCTGGAGTGAAAATAAAAATTAAACTGGAAGTGTCACTCAAATTCTAAATTTACAGATGAAATCACATTGAAATAATCTTCACATTTGGTTGGACAGTGCCCAAAAGCCACTTACACATTTGAATCACATTTAATATTTCTTTTTTTTAACACTTCTTTTTTTAACTCCAGATCTTTTGAGGACATCCACACATTCATCCCATCACTTCTATTCATTGCTACAAACAAACCAAGCATGCATTATGGAATTTGGGGACCACATAGTCCAAAATAGTAATTTTTGAGGTTCAATATCAGAAGAGTAATTTTGTTACCTCTGAAAGCTCTCCCAGCAATTGCTGTGAGGAAAATGGAGTAAATCACATCAAATAGTAGTGTTAGAAAGGTAAAAAGTAACTGCCTCACACATCACTCCTGAAATTTCATACACATTAGTAATTTAAAACAAAGGAACATCAGTGCTAATAATTACCTCCTCTTACTCACTAAGCAACTCACATAGTGAGTTAGTCTCATTTTCTTCTTTCAAATAATGAACTGAGTGTTGGCTACAAAACACATATGTGACACCATATAAGCAATGAGCTCTTTTCAAAGCACCTACCCAGACAGAAACTTAGAAAGATGTTTAATAAAAAACGAAACACAAACAAAAAACTGACACTGGAATGAAGATCATAAGGTGAATGTAGAGAACACTTGCAACTGTAGAACAATAAGAATTAAGTCATGGCATGTATTAAAAAAGGAACTTACTTATTTTAGCTTTATAAATGATGGCCAGCTTAGAAAATGAGGTAAAGGTCACTGCTGACAGACATGTACTCACTAAGTTGCTGACAGCCGTAAGAATAACGAACAATTCTGCATTTTGTTTTTCCTTCTTCCTCATATTTTTTTCTTTTAAGAATAAATTTGCAATCCTCAGCTCATGTAAATCAGAACAAATCCTTTAAATTACTTGGACAGTGATGATAAACTTGGTTTTTGCCAGAAAATATTTTGTTTAGAATAGAAGTCCCAAAGCTCTTTTTCAACACACTACAGGCTGCACCTTGTCAAGAATCAAGATTCAGTATGATTTGATCTATTTTTAAAGTAAGCAAAATAATAAGCTTGAGTAAAGGTGCCAAAGGTATCAACCCTAACTCTTGATCATTCTAAAAAAACCTGGGAACGACGTATTTTCAAATACATTTTGGCATCAAAAAAAGGGAATATGTGTATTCAGACCATGGCAAATACAGACTTAGCATTAAAAAGGCATTAGATACAACCATAACTAGCATTAGTGCTGGGCAATGCTCTCATTAAATTAACACAGACACAGAGCCTCTCGTTCACTCTCTGAACATTTTAGTGCCATGTTCCTGTTTGCCCAGTGACAGGAGTTCACCAAGAGGGCTGCAGAGCATTCAGCCTCGGTTTTGTCAACAGCCATGTGGTTTGGATGTTTTCTTGAGATTCATTTTAAGGAAGAACCAACTATTTGTCTTCACCCCAAAGGGACAATGAGGTACCCAAGGACTAGAAGAGCAAATTTCAAGGGAAGTCTTTTGACAGTTTCCTTTGGTGGGCTCAGCTATTATGCAAACAGCTGTCTATTAAAACCCCATTACAAGTCACCTAATTAGCTCTTTGCGGGGTGTAAAGAATTTCTGTTTTTATTGGATTTACAAACCTGTCTTGCTAGAATCTTGCAGAAAGCAAGAAGCACATTAGGATGGAAGAAGGAAAAATTTGGACAGAATTTACTTATTCAAATTGGTACTAGCTAAGATTACTCCCCATTTCTTAAAAAAATAAAAAATAAAAAAATGGGCAAACTGGGGACTTTTAATTCCTATCATTAATCAAATCGTTTTTACAACTATTCATTACATTTTTGTATGATAAGTGGCATCCCATAGTTTGGGATTGGATCAATGTTGAATTGGACTTTTTAAAGCCATCAAAAAGTCTTGATCTCATGGCAACTTTAAAAAGCATTTCATAGGAAGTGAGGTAAAAGGGATACTGGCTCTTGGTCAAAAATTATGACTTCTCTTTGGCCACTGCAAAATGCACACCTGGCAACTGCATCTCTTCATTAACAAACACTTCATGATCTGCAGGAAAGATACCAGTTGGCAAAAAATGAGTATGACACTATGACACTAACTTGCAGCACAAATGCTGTGCTCGAGGTGAAATAACTTCCCACAGAGATATTTTAAGTGAGCTGCTAAACAAAGAGACTTGAAAGAAAGGGTTGGCTGGTTGATCACCAAGAAACAGAAAGGACACTTGTCCCAGGTGAGGTGGAGACTTTTGTATTGATGTTTACGTACCATAAACGTGCCTCTTACATACTTCTGTGTACAGTCATGTTTGTTTTTTTTTTAAATTAGACTACAGGACTGCATTTGGCTTAATATTTACTCTCTGTGCCTCAGGATTTCATACACATCACTGATAACATAACTGTCTCACCTCACAAAGGGTGTCATGAGATTAATTAACATGCCCACCAAGATACACACCTCTATCCCAGTTAATGTTCCTCAAATTCCTTTTTTCAAGAGCATTAAGTTAATAAAATTCACAGTAAATAGGAAATATTATGATTACTAATTTTCTAGGTTCACCAGCAATACTCGTACAAAAGAAGAAATCAGAGTGCTTGGGAAACTTTATGTTCATACGTAATGGGACGGTGAAGTACCACTTCTGGTTCACAATAAAAAGGCAGACTAAATGACCAATACCACAGGAAACGGTGATAAACAATAATTAACATCAGAGGAAAACAGAAACCATCAGCAAAATGCTCTCCTTAATGTACAAAAGTACCAAACAAGCAAAAATAAGGTTTTCCTGACTAATTCAACTGACCAGAAGAAAGACAACGTTACAGCCTCTGCAATGTTCCTTCAAGTATCATCTTAGACAATTCAATGCTTTCAAGTAACTATCTGGCACCTGGATCCTGAAAGGGATTGAGAGAAAAATCAGGATCTAATCTAGTGTGTAGACTCAGAGGTCACTAGGAGAGGAAACAGAGTAAGAGTAAAATAAACTTTGCAGCTCCAAAAGTAATTGTGATAATGAGACATCCATCTCTCAAAGAAAGGGTGTCCATCTGAAGAATAATTGAATGACAAAATTATCTCTTTCAATGGAATCCTTAATCCTTCCTAATAATCTGGAAGCATCCTTTGGTCAGCTGTGCTTTGAAGGCCATTAATCTGTAAAGAAATACGCTAATCTTGTACACAGCAAGCCTACTTTGAAAGCAGTCTTTCAAAAACCAAAGATGACTTAGAAGACTGGCAAAAGCTGCACAGCACCAGGCGCTGAGCCCGCTCGTGTCTAGGGTCTGGCAAAGGCACTGATAGGAACCACTTCAATTTCCTGCTCTACCCACAAGTTCTCCTGTTTGACCTTGGGCAAGGCAGTCATCCCTTTGGTGCCTCATTTCTCTCCAAAATAGCAGCAATGTCTCATAGCACTGTTATGAAAATAAATAGGGTTATGCAAACAGATTCCAAATGAACCATGTATCTATCACAGGCAAAAAGACAAATGAGCACGCTTAGGAGTGCTAAAATTATAACAGTCACCACAAAGTTAAGAACAACATTACAGACACATCTTGGTAAAGACTCCCTTTATCCTGTGTAATTTATTACATTCCTAAATAATTTCACAGTATTTCAAACTCACATTTGAATATGATAAAGCTACAAGCAAAACAAACCATTGACTGTAGGGAACAACCTGCCAGAGGGCAAAGAAACAAAATTATCTTAAATGTTGTTCTCTGACCTTAATTTTCATAGGTCCACGGAGAAGGATTTGTGAAAATTATTATTTTATTATTTCCCATGTCATGTCATGTCATTATTTCAAACAGAAAACCTCAAAACCTGCAGTGCTTTACAAAGAATAGCATAAGAACCTCTACTCAAAAATGTACTCAGTCTGCTCAGGATTTCTTGGCAAATTCCAAACACACAAAATGACATGCACCCAAAGAAAAAAAAAATTCAAATCTTTAAATCAGGATCTAAAAAGCACTCTAGATGCATGCTTCATTTCAGAGACAGACAAAAACCATAATCAATTTAGAATGAACTCATACATTATAGGCAAACAATTAGGAAAGAAACCTCAGAAACAGTCCAATTCAAGCCCACCAGGCTCAATACAGGTCTACCACATTATTGTGCCAAAAATAGCTTGGGACCTGTTTCTCAAGAGATTTTCCATATCCATGGCAAAAACAGAAAATAGTTCAAAAACTGCAGCTTTCATGATAACTGTGCACACAGAATCCGGCACAGCAACACCTTTGACTGGGACTTTTAGAGGAGTCTGCAGCAGAGACAGTCAACAGTAACATTATGGCATTTCTCATTTTTTTCGGTCATCAGCTAGAGTGTGTAGGCACAAGGAATGAATATTAGATTAAATTAAATTAAATTTCACTTCAAGTTTCAACAGAAGTTTGGTTTGCATTTGGACTGTAAAAGTGTGATTCAGAGGTAGGCCTGGAATTTCTGCTTAATCCAAACTTGTTTGCCTAACCTTTCAAAATCATTAGAAATAAAAAGGAAGACATGGGTCTTAGAAAATACAACTTCCTATTTTATGAGCCTCTGGCCCACTTAAATGTTGTCTAAAAATACACTTTACAACTTTATCCTGTATATCCTTACTCAGGTAGACATTTGCATTCATGTAAGATTATTTTTTTAAAAACATTTTACCCTCTAATTCTGTTCAACACATAAAAGAAACAATAACAAAAAAAAAAAATTAATTCCACACCACAATATGAAAGAAAGAAAACCACAATTAGGTCAGGAGAATAGAGTGCTATTGATGAACAGGCATAGTAACTGAAAAATACCTGCTTTGTGAATTCAAAAGCAAAGACGCCTATTTTTTATTACTCTAAAATTACAATAATTAAATAAATTAAAGACTAAGACAGAGACACACAAAGACAGAAAATAAAAAGAAAAGCTAGTGTTCACTCTCCTAGGAGAAGCAAAGATGACCCTACCTTAAATAATTCAAATTCCTTCTTTGGCATCAACAGCTATCAATCCACAAAGGATATTTGCAATTAAAATAAATGCATACACATCCATTAGGATCAAAATTACCACCTCTAAGCAAATAAGCACACCCTTAAAGGAAAACATTTTGCTGCACCTCTATCAACTTTATTTTCATGTTAGACTCTATGCAATACAGAAATCAGCCTCAGCGTGTACAAGAAATATAAATCTTTTGACATATCAATGGAACATGCAGATATTTTAGCCTTGCTTTGAATCTCTTCCTCCTCCACATGCACACTTCAAATGAAAGTTTTGCTCCCAAGGAGCAGACCATACCTGGATGGTGCGGGTATATGCAGGCTCTGACCATCCTAGACCACCTTCTTGACTCCTCAGAGGGTCCAAAATGTTGTTTGGCACAAAGCCTGTGCTGCCACTTCTATTCTGAACCTTCCACCACTGCTTTCTGTCATCCAGAATCTGAAATAATTTGGTAAATTAATTATGTATTTTTCTTTCTTCCTGCCAGCATTTAGACTGTGCATCATTTCAAAACAAAACCATAACTTTGCCAGGTTCTGCAACTGCCAACAGACCTTACCCATATCTCCCTAAGAAACCCTTGTAGGCTTCCTTAATTATCACTGTCATTAATTCTACAAGGTCATACTGCACTTTCAAAACATGGCTCTCAAGAAAGGATATGGAAGAAAAGTGTGTAATGAACCTCTAAACTCAGTCATGTGCTGGACAAGACAGTTGAATGAAAATGTGCAAAGAGGCTGGCATCTCTACAACCTATATGCTGTTGACAAAAGGAGTAAGTAATAACCCAAGGAAAAGTGCATCGTTCCAGGAGAGTACAAATTTGGAGAGAGTGCACTTCAGAGTAAACAGGATGGCCAGGAGAAGTCTGAAGTCTGACTACCTGCCGTGCAATCTCATAAACAAGGTTTTCTGTCTTTGTTGCTACCTCCCTTCCAAATGTTTCCAGCTTTCAGGATACCAGCTCCTCCAGGAAAGGGCAGTCTTTCAATACGCCTGGTGCATCCACAGATAGTGTTTGCCAGAGCCAGTTATTTAAATACTACTAAATGAGGCTTTTAAAAGCAACAGCAAAGATGGCAAAAGTAACACACAAATATATTTCTAGCATGGATCTCTACAGCATCAATTCATAAGTTAGCGCAGAATCCCCATTTATCTTGTCTATAATGCAAAACCAATTGAACTTTCCATATTAAGGGAGATGACTCAAACGCACTGAAGTAATCATTATGGACAGCCACACCGTCTGCTGGAAAGGTACCCTTAGCTTTGAGTAGTATCAGAAATTAATTGTTTTCTCTGTGCAAAAAAAAATTACCTCTACTATCTCTTCTTTCATGACAGAAAGCTCACTGTTGTTTCTTGCCATAAATTCGTACTTGCATTTGGCATATTTCTTGGTCTGTGCTTTATTGTGTGCTTCATAGTTTCTGCAAAGCAGAGATCAGACTATTGTTCAGTGAGACATTCAAGCAAACAAAACCACAAAATTCACTCTTCCAACAACCTGCAAGACTTTCAAACAAAAAACCCCACCCTACCATAACATGCTGCTGCTGTAGAACTACCTATTCATAACACACTGATTTAAGTCCCCCCCAAAAATAATAAAAGAGGTGGTTCAGCTACATAGACCTCAAGAACTGGTAAACTTTATTGGCTCACTGCTTGCAAGATGTATAACTCAACTTAGATTAGCAGATGCCATTGTTTTAAAATAAACATGCACACTATATTTAGTCTGTTTTCCTACAGCAGGTTAAACAACTATTTTCCATGTAAACAAACAACTATACTTAGTATATAATTGATATCTTGTGCTTTGTATGAAACTGTATGTCTAGTGTCCATCATAAATTGTTTCAAATACATATTAGATTAATAAATTTTTGCCATCAACACCAATGGAATTAAACTCTAAAAAATGCTCACCTACTGTAAATCAGTTTTTCTTAATTGACCGTAAAGTACAATCTACTCTAACAGCCTCAAGTTACTGTATCAATTAAAAATCTTGGCAGTTATAATCAGGGTTCATTGTAGAACAAGGCATACCACAGTTTAATTCTGTGTCTTTCTGTTCCCGTGAGGAAAGACCTGTTCAGAATGCCTTTGGGTAAGAAGCTACTAGTTTCTTTGATGCAGTTACCTCTTCAAGTTGAGAAGCTCCCCAGCCCTCTCAAAATGTCCAAAAGAAACAGTAACATCATTCACTTATTGCAAATCACACCCAACAACCCAAATCCATACCCAGTATTAAAGTAAAAAAAAAAAAAAAAAAAAATCCAAACGGATAATGAAACCATGAAGCAATCAATGACTCGAAATGCTGCATACAGCATCACAGCACAGGGATACGAATGCAGACAGTTGCTGATGTTGGTGCTGCGTAACCATGGTTTGCAGGCGTGCCCAAGCAATCCAGCAGTTACCTAGCTATTGCATGGCTGTGGAGAACTGTCTCACTTGACTTGAAGAGCAGAACAAAGGAAGAGTCATATTTAGATTAGAAGATTATTTTGAAAGAAAGACAATACACTGAAAGTGTTTAAGGAGAGAGTGAAAAACATGGGATGAACCCCATCCTGCAGAATAGCTGTTACGAGGCCGAAAGATATGTGAGTAATTCCAATTTGTTTCTACCACCCATTCAAAATTCATATAATTTTGAAGTCCTTTCTTACTATCTCAGGGATATGACTAACGTACCTTTGAAGGTTCTTTTACTTTTAGGCTACCCTTCCAAACACATTTCACACTGTTTTCCTACCTCAACCATCCTAACTATCCTGATCCCTTCAAAAAACATAACTCATGAAGAATTTTTAAAAATGCTTAAATTTCAGTTTTACTGCACTCTGATTCAATCAACAGCAATGTCCCCAGAACAAGGGCTGGGCAATGGCTACATGCTTCTGAAGAGACCATAAGTCTTCAAGTCCAGCTTAATGAGCCAAACAGTTTATTCAGGGCACAAATACTTTTCAACACTTCCCTCCATCCATCCTCCACTGTGTTTTCTTACTACCTATCAGATACACCGTAACTGCAGCCCTCTGTTCTCCAGTGCCTAGTGGACTGCACAGACTTTCAGGGTGCTTTTCTTCAAATGTTGGCACAAAACTAAACTACACAGCATGCTACTTTGAATCATCATGCAACTTGCTGAAAAACTATTCAGTACTCTTTCAGCATCAGAGTCAGTCCCTGATACACCTACTACCATACTGAAAGTTTAAGATCCTGACACTTAATTTAAATCACCCAAGGAAATCTCACCTTACTGGAGGTCTTGGCATGTTGGAAGAAGGCTCACTGAAAGTCCCTGTGATTAAAATTTCCTGGGACAATGTATAACCTATCTGTCCCTTAGACAATAGTGGGTGGCTTGGTCACTGCCTCCGGGATGCTCATTAGGAATGCCAACTCTGAACAAGGACCAGCAAATGACGGCTGAAAGGGTCAGCTTGAATTTCTCACTCCCTCCCCCAAACCCACTTCTGCACCTGCTTCTTCACAGATGTTTTAAAATTTGTCTTTAAATGGAAGTTACTTGGGGTAATACACATTAAGAATTTCCCCCAATAATGAGCTCCTACCAGGCAAGTATTATATGTCTCATGAGCCAATTAACAAATGGAAGTTTGTGTTGTGCTGAACAGACTGGAAGATAGGGGCACACTGTGGATGTTTGCATCAGTACCAGCCACCTCGACTCCCTCCTACAATCAGTGGTGAGAAACAGGCACCACTACAGCATGGCTCATTTCATATCTTTCAAAAGACTAATTTCACCTTACATGAACTGCTTCTTAGAAACATCCATTTCTCACCACAAAGGAGGCCTGGATGACTCTTTCAGTTGCAGCCAGATACACTGATATCATCAAAAGTTCAATACAATAAGACTCATTGTCTAAACCTGAAATGAAGGCAACAACATTTGCATGGAATACTCTTACTCTGAAAGGACAAAACAGGTCTTATCACATTACAGGTAAGAAAGAAAGGAATTTAGAGTACAGATCATCTAGATCTCAAGCTGACTGATCCTGAGACAAGAATTCAAAAAGTAACCAAGTTTGAGAAAATGATTAAGAGATGATTACAACTGCTGTTGTTATTATGAAGAATAAATCAAAAATTCAGGAAAAGAATTGAATCTTCAACCAATGCACCACATAGGAATTTGTTTGCATGCAGATTTAACAACAGGATCTTTTAGCAGATAGCTCAAAACCAGGGATTATGCAAAGGTTTTCATGAAAACAGTTATATCAATGCTGTTTTAATGAGTAGTCTGATCCTAAAAACTTAACTTAAACATCTTCCATGGCACACAAGCCAAAATACTGTTCATACGGTTTATATGGAATATGGCTTGGCATGGGGGAGCAATTCCAACACTGCTTTATCGATCTGCTTCTACAGCTTGTGCTGGTATAAATTCTCCCCACAGACAAAGCTGAGACTCCAAGGATCACTGCATTTGATCTTGTCAAGCTATTTGGATTTAGGCTAAAATGAAGGGGATGAAAGAGGATGTGCAAAAAGACACTGGTTGCTACGCAAACATTTCAGAGCATTTTCTGTATCATTTGAAAGAGAATGGAAGAAACGAGAAGATACCATTCTGGAAGGGGATATTTACGCACAAAAACAAAAAGCAGGAGACTATGGAGCACTAAGTGAGCAGCTAAACAAATCAAACAATCATTCAAAACAAGGACAGATGTATCTCAGAGCAGAGTTGTCATTCTTCGTAGTTCTGAAAAGAGCAAAGAGTATATTTGAAAACATCAAACAGGGCAGAAATAAAATTTGAACCCAAATAGGAGGATTCTGCGTTCTCAATTGGGTTGGAATTCCACTATAACGTTTTTGACAAAAGCATCGATTTAACAGCATACATAAACAGGGTAGTTTCATAGAAATTATACTAAAAGAGTCCTGATGATATGCCTTAGAGAAGCGAAAGCGGAATACCCACTGCTAACCAGAAATAATGATCTGCTCCAGACACAACCAGAGGTAATTACAGACACCACCACCCCAATAGCAGTAAGTCGGGACAGTTATCCACAGCACCATGTATGCCGTTGATTCAGTGTTACCTATCTACATGCCGGCTAACGGTTTGCTTAAAGGCAGCAACAGCCGCCCCCTGGTCCAGCAGAGGCCCTCTTTTGTAAACGGTGTTACTGAATGCATACCCATCAGACGGAGGGTAGTCGGGAACACCGGGAGGCTGGAAGACAAAAAAGGAAACAAAGCCACAAAGTGGATTAGCGTCACCAGTGGCACCGCCTAGTTCACTTAATCCAGCACCCCTAGGGTCCCTGTCAGCCTTCACGCGTCCTCAGGTGCTCACGGTTCTGCTATGAAAAGTTAATAACTTCTGCATTTCAAATACATAAACAGGGAGATCAAAAGGATAAGAATAAAAGAATTTCTATCCCAAGTCATCCCACTACATTAATATTGCAGTGGATATTCTTTAGAAAAACAGTTCTCTGGGGCAAGGTCCATGTCATCTCTCAGATATCACTACAGCAACACAATTTACAAACAATGACTGAATGGCTTTAAAAAAAACTGCACTGAGAATCCACTTTGAGCTTTTGTTCTAAATGCACATTTAAAGCCAGAAAACTAGCTAGCTAGCAGTAAGTCTGTATAAGAAATAAAACTTCCTAAGTAAAATTACCACTCCAATAGAGGATTCCAGTATCAAGTGGTTCATTTATGTCACCCTTCCACTGCACGTGACTGAAGTTAAAGAAGAAATGCAAAAAGGACATGATAGTCAGTGAAATTAAGGATTTTCGTTAAGGAAAACAATCACAATTTATCACAAGCACATATATATGAATACTCAAGGCTTTAGAAAATTCTTTTTAAACAGCAATCCTTTAAAAAAAACCACCTTAAATCCAGCAATGACACTCTGCTTCTAGTAAAGACTATTTTAACCATCATTTCCAAAAACAAAAACAAGGTAAGCAGTTAATTTCTGGAGATTATGATATTGAAGTTGCTCATTTTACATCTTTTCCTTGTACCACTATGCAGTTGCACAAGTTAGAACAGCTGAGATTCATCAGAAATTGCCAAATCTCTAACCCTGGTTTTGGGTTGGTTTTGGGTTTTTTTTTTGTGGGTGTTTTTTTTTTTTTCATTTGGATTTAGACGCTACAGAAAAGCCACCCAACTCATTTCTGCCTCCAAGTATCTGACCTGGGACCCAGAGACACCTGCCCACGAGCCTGAGGGTTTACGAAAAGTAATTAAAACCATCCCAAAACCCCCATACGTATAGAATATTCTTTAAAACTGTATTATTAAGACCTCTTTGAAAAAAATCTCAAGTGCCATCTAGCTTATGTCTTATATCAAAAGACACCCAGGAAGCAGGAACTCATTTTACTTCACACACAAATCATTTGCATCGCCTTAGCCACACTGGACTCTCTATCACTAGTTCCCTGTTGTTTCACTGCCACTTGAAGTGCTTATCACTGAACTGACTCCGCCTTGAAACCCCTCCAGTGGGAGCTCTGTGTGTGGCTACATCTTAAGATTCAGGAACAGAAACAAACAAAAAAAAAAGGTTCTCATGAGCAGGAACCTCCAACGCACTTTGCCAGATGCCAGAGCAGCCCCTGCCCAGCAGGGAGGGCAGCCGCACGCACCCCCTCTCCGCTCCCAGCACGGCACCACTCTTGACATGCAGCCTCGGTCCTCGGGAGAGCAATGTCATGCTGAGACACGAGGCCAATTAGCAGCAAGAGACAAACACTTAAATTCTCATCTTATTTTTCCATCACTCTTTGTTAAACAAGCTGTTAGGGCAGACTTATGAAAGAATAATTATTCTTATATTATCACCCACTCCAGGGTGGTGCTTTTGCTGCAGACAAACAGCACTTTGCACTGGCACAGCTTTTTCCAGCTGAGCACCGACAGCATTTCACTGCTATTAAGCAGCTCAGCACTTTTCCCCCTAGGGATGTGCTGAGGAGGCACTGGCACAGGGAGCCAAGGTACCAAGGTTAAATGACTTGCCCAAGACCACGTGGGAGTCAGTGACAGCCATGAAAACAGAGCCTGATATCCCAAGTGCTAGGCACATAAACACCTTCAGTGAACTGGGATACAAATTTTTGAATATTTTTTTTTTTTGTCTTTCGAAGATTTAGACAAAGAGGCTGAGTTGGCACAAGCAACTCCAATCCAGCCAACACTACCAGCATAAAAAAGAATGAAACCAACTCCCTGAACCACAAGCAACCAAAATACCACAATGTATTCTCCCCCTCCAAATCTGTTTTAACTTATTATATTTATGAATAACAAACAAATTCCTTACAATCGTCAGAAGAGAAAAATTAATGCTCTTATTTTTTCAATACTATTTTGTCGGGGGTTTTTTAATTATTATTTAGAAGAAGCACAGTGCAAACAAAAGAACTCTGCATGGAAATGTAGAGCAGCAGTGAAACACTGAGACAATGTTTGATGAGACTTTTTGGGGAGATCACTAGGGGAAGGGGGTGACAGCGATGGCAGCAGCTACATTTCATGTTATTGCGCCCTTTAACTCGACTAAATGCCTTTTTTTTTCCTCAAAATGAATCACTGGCAATAACTTGGTTTTTGGCACATTTATTCTTGTATATCTTGTTAGGCATAAAGCCAAACAGTGTTTTAAGTGATCAAATATGTACCATGTTATCCTTCTTTGCTTGGCAGACTTTTTACTCAATTTGTTTGTCTCTCTATAGCAGACTAGACTTTTTTTTTTTCCTTTAGTAACGGAAATTTTCATTACAACAAAGTTTTATAGCAACAGGCGTTCAACGGGCAGTTTTGATAAACTTTTGCCATGGAAGCTTTGTTGTCTCCAACAAGAGAATTGGTCTGCAAGAGAACACCATCCCCTAACAGCCAATAATCCTTCCCTTGAATCTTCTTCCATATGTGCATTTTTTCAATAACATATATGTTATACATATATAGTAAAATTAAGATAAAATCCAGTATCATTGCATTAAAGTATACTCCAAATATAGTACTGGTGTAGATTGCTTGAGAAAGATAGTAAAGACTATGGAGTGAGCCTAGAAAATTCTTAGGTGCACTTCCATATCACAGCTGATAACAGGGGACCTTGGACTAGCTAACACTTCATTTAAACTAAAACTACAATAGAAAAAGAAACCAAAATTTTAAATTAAAGCTTATGTCCTCCCAACAACAAAAAGCTTCCGAAATGAAAACTTTTATATGTTTTAAAAGGCAATAGTTGTGGGGTTTTTTGTGAATTAAAAAGCAGCAACATCCACATATATTCTTAAAATTTTCACAAAAATCAAAGTACATTTTCTGACCAACTCTATTGAAAAAGTAGGAGGTAGAACCTTTGTTGCAAAATAAAGGGGCTGAACATAAAGGTGGTCAGAAAACACACTCTGATTTCTCTGAAGGCTTTAGGTGGCGATGCATGTCTCCATTCTCTAAACAGAATAACCTATCTTTTGCTACGTTCATCACATTGCTTGGGAGAAAAGGATGGGAAAATGTTCCTGTACAATCACTCTTCTAATTGGCAGCTGTTTTTCAGAAGTAGGCCTACATTACCTGACACGGCATTACTTTGATAGCACCTCTGAAATCTTGCAATACAGTGAAAGTATCAAGAAATTAATGAAAGGAATATTAAACTCCACATTTGTGAAGCAGCAGCTGAAATCCAAAATTCCCTACAAAGCAGTGGTCTTTTTCTTTTTGTCTGTGTGCCTGCGGATGGATGCACATTTGAGAACACATTGTTCAAATTCCACCTGAGGTATATATGATCAAAATCAATGGGATGTGAAAGCACAGGTCAAGAATCAAACTGAACCTTAGGGGCTTGGACTGTCCTCCCAACTGAGGTGGAGAAAGTGCATCAAAAGTCAAGGAGAGGACAATGATAGAACAAGGGGCAATGGGTGCAAGCTGGAGCACAGGAGGTTCCACATTAAGGTAAGGAAAAACTTTTTCACTGAGAGGGTGACAGAGCACTGGAACAGGCTGCCCAGAGAGGCTGTGGAGTCTCCTTCTCTGGAGACATTCAAAACCCGCCTGGATGCGTTCCTGTGTGACCTACTCTAGGTGGTCCTGCTTTGGCAGCGGGGGGTGGACTAGATGATCTTTTGAGGTCCCTTCCAACCCCTAACACTCTGTGATTCTGTGATCTGTGAGAGCAGACGGCAAAAGCCCTATATTTTTTCTAATCACATTTTTGGTGGCTGAGTAGGTATTTGGTTTCATATAACTTTATTACAAGTGCAATGAGCTTGCACTAATGTAGCAGACATCAGGGCATGGTTACTCCAACAATGTTAAAGAATATTTTCTTTATGAAGGAAGCAGTTGGTGTTGCCTTCAGCTAACTTACAAAATGCTGTCGCAGGTAACCTACCTCAGTTGACAGTCTTTTCATTTCTTGCTTTCGCTGTTGCTCTGCAACGTTTGCCACGGACTCAGCCAAATGATTGAGTTCTTGCTCCTTTGGAGCTCCCATGAAGTTCAGCAAAGGAGGCTCCCAACCATTTCGGAAACGGGGGACATAAGGTGGAATAAAATGGTCTTTGGGCCAATCCGCTCTGTATGAAAAGCAAATTAGAGATCTGTATCAAGGGCCACACAAATATGGGTTTAATAGACCTAAAAATTGAAAGGCTTTAGAATTTTTATTAGTATAGAGCAGAGGCTGGATTACAATACAGGCAGAATTGTGCTAAAAAATTGGAGAAAACATTTACTGACCACAACTATGCTCCCCGCTGTGCCCTGCAGAAAGAAACTGCTCCTGCTTTAAGAACTTGTCGGTGGTAAAACACAACAAATTTCTGACTTGTAGCAAAGGATGAGTAATAGAAGAATCAATCACAAACAAATCTATGATTTGTTTTAACTGTTAGATGGGCAAAAATACTGCAATGCTGCATTTGTGTTAAAGAACCAGACAAAAGACTTCAAAGAAACAGCCTGCTTTATAAGAAAGTCTGAAAGCAGGTAAGAAGCATGGAAGCTTAGGGGGCCCAGCTACACCGAAAAGAAAACGTTAAACAATAGCTTATACTGACAAAACCCACAACTCTACCTGCTCCAAGACACAAGAATTATCATCACATTTGCTGTTTTACAGTCCAGATTCATCTTTTTAAAATACTGTATTACTTTTCAGAGTTCCATTAGCATTCCCTATCGTAAAACAAAATACCTAAATAAACGCTTTCATGCTTTGCCTTTGCACTATACATAACACACTGTTCCGCAATATAAATTAATGTATCTTTACAGTGGAAGCAGAAACGGGAACGTACATTACAGTCTTTTAGCAGACTCATTGTTGACACTGCTCAAAATTAAGGGACAAATGCTGCCAGTCACACAAGTTGCAGAAGCAGTCAGCAATTACTAGGCCCATTAGCATGACTGAGCTGGGTCAGTAACCCTTGAGTTTTTTCATTCACTGTTCCCGCTACACCACACCACAGTGTACCTCCGGATACTGAGATCAATCAGACCATCATTTCTAATCTGCACAGGTCAACCAACTAGATCCTAAGTGCTTCAATTCTTCACTGCCCAATGAGCTACTTCTCTTTCCGTTAAACTTTTTCCAGCATGGAGTAAACAAATTATTACGGTAATTCCCAGGACAAAGAGCCCATTATTTTACCCAGTGATCCATCTTCCTTGCATGGGGCTCCAGCGCTATGAGGCAATTTCCACTGCCAGTCCCACCACAAGCTTGCTATGAAGCCAGCAGAGCTTGAAGCAGGTAAAGGCAAGCAAATGGTGCTTTGCTGGGGTGAGCTCTCTGGCAATCACAAGGAGCTGCAATTCCTGTTTCCAGCTCATTTGTAGTCATAGGCTGAACAATAGGCCCACAGGACAAATTTAGACATTCCTGGTCCTGCAGCAGAATGAGATCAAGGAAGGGAAAGACCTGTACATGACACTCTCCCTCTTCTGAGGGTGTTTGTCACTCCATGCTCTAGGGCTTTCCGTGGAGCCTTCCTTGCCAGCAAAACACTCAACTACTTTTTAGTCAATCACTTAATTAATTAAAGAATTCCACCTGGTAGATGTTTATGTTACAATTTGAAATGTAAGAGCAAGGATGAATAAAATAAAATATATGAAACATTTCCAGGCCAAGTGATTGCATACTTAATCATCATCAAATGTACTTATCTACCATAGATTACAGAGTTAAAATGCACCTTGCTAATTTAAGCTTTTTCTTTTGCATGTTCTATTTACCTAAGTAATTTCAAACTATATACTTAGCACAAAACCAACAAATGCCTGAAACAGTTAATTTTTAACCAAGTCTAACCATAATAGTGAATCCATTAAGTGCAATGTGTAGGAGGGTATGCACATATAACATGGTTCAGCCAATAAACATAGTTTAAAAATTATAAGCATTTTCTTTATAGCATTATGATGCTTTTGAAAAACTAAAGACATTGTAAATTCTTAGCATTTGATAATTATTGGAAATTGAAAATAGACATCCGTATCTTGTTCTTCAATATTTTGTCACTTTTTATTGCAGCTTCTTCAAACTGATTTTTAATGAAGTCCAGATAGCTGTGTTGGAAAAGTAATGGTGAAAAACAACTGGAAACATGCAAGGGACAGTTCAGAAAAAATGACTGCAAGAGGTTATATCAAGAGGTTCTTGTTACCACGCACAAAACAAAAATTTCGGTCTACATTTTCTTCCTCCTTGAGACCACTAAAATCAAACCACTCCCGTATCCCATTGAGGCTGAAGAGTTCCTTTCCAAAAAACTTCAAAGAACAGTTCTGAAGAGTCCAAAGCCTATCAAATTAATAGTGAGTTTACTGGGGGGTGGATTACCTGGTTAAGATCATGTCAATAAACTTGAGTTTAGAGATCAACTCTAAAATATGCGAAGGCTTTTTCTCACCTGGCTTTGGTCCATGTGTCACCCAATGACATCCATAACTGTCCTTCCTCACTGGTGACAGTATAACGCAGGAAGTCTATTGTATCTTTTGTTAAGAGGGGGCTGAGTACTGTACCAGCAAGCTCTGGACCTCCTGTTGTCTGTACCACCTAAATTCAAATATTAATACAAAGAACATACACATTATCAGTAAGGAAGGTACTGTGAATATAAGTTACTACAATGCTTCCAGGAAACATTTATTAGTCACAAAAACATCCCAGACCCTCCCCTCTCCCCCAACCCCCCAAACTCTGAGAAGCTAACAATGTGTCTTAACGTCATACAGATTAACTCAACCATTTATTGCAGAAGAACTGCTGTTCATTTAGACCCACATACTTCTAGTAAACAGACACATGGCTATGCTTTCAGCTGTCCTCCTGCATTATGTAAACTTTCTCAATTTTTTATTGTTAATTAGAAGTTATAATGGCAAACTGTAACACACAAAGCTAAAGATTATTTAAATAAATATATTTAATAGATGGGAATATATGCAGAAGAGGATATAAATTATTTTCTAAAGAGAATCTCATCCTGAGACACATATTTCTCCTTAGTTATTGTCCAGGGACACAACATTTCAATCTTGTTATCCTTGAAAAGGTTACAGAGCATATAAATACAAGAGCTCTGAAGGAAAACACTGAGAAAATTATAAAACCTTACCATATGTAGTGGGGTAAATAGAAAATGAACCAGTTCAGCTGCACTAGGATTCTGGATATGGAACTTTAATTTGGCCTGAAGGAACAGGAAAATGACATATTTTAAGAAACATTTAATTTTTATGACAATAAATACTTCACGTAAGGATGGCCATCCCTGGTCAGGCCACAGGTCCACCTAAGCCCAGTGTTTTGTTTGCAACATCTGCTACGTGCAAGTGCTAATTCATCCAGTTGCTTTTGAATCCATGTATATCTTTAGCACCTATTGTGCAAAACAAGAAGTTCCGCAACTGAATTACATGCTTTGTAAAGAAGCATCTCCTTTGGAAATTTGCCACCTCTTATTTTCATTAGTATTCTGTAATTCATTTCCAAATGAAAACTGAGTAAGCCTTCTCTGGCTACATTTTCTAGTGATGCTCATAACCATTTACAGATTTATTACTTTCTTCCTCTGGTCTTTTCCAACTTAAAGCAATTCCTTCGAGTATTGTTGTCCTCCCTGTACCTTCTTCAGTTTTGCTTCACTGGGAACAAAATGAGGCCAGGGAACATAACAGCATATTGATGCTTTTTCTTTGTTAATTTTCTTTTTTCTCCCCCTAATTGTTCTTAACATTTGCTTGGTTGATCACCATTGAACATGGATGATGTTCTCACAGGAATCTGTATTACATCAACATTTTGTTCTGATTTGGTTTATATATAATATTTTTCCCCACCTGTCCATGACTATCAATATTGAATTTCATCTGTCACTTTATCTGCTGTCATGAGATGTTTCAATGTTTGTAGACTCTACACTCCCCATTTGGCAGAACACCTGAAAATATGTTGGACAGCAAAGGCCTCTGCAGTGCAGTGTGTGGGACTTCACTGCTGTATTTACTGCACTTTAAGAACTGGCATTCTAGTCCTATAATTTGTTTTCTAATAGAAATAAGAATCTCAGTTTCTTTAAGAACTTCAGGATGTGCACCCTTGATGGATGTGTTTTGGAAATCCAAAGAAACAAAGAACTGATGTATTTGTAGACATTGTTTTGTTTTGCAAGATGCATGTTTGCTTCTTCCTCAATTTAATATACCTGCCTAGAAACTGCATCCCACGTGCAGGTTCCTCAGGGGTACCTGGTTGTCACAGTCCCTCAGATGCTCGGAATGACTCTAGAGATTGTCAGCATTACCTTAACCACTTCTCCTTCTCTGGAAGAATAGCAGTTTGAGAAAGGTTACATACCATACTGTGTGGTTTGCTGATTTAGTTTTTGGAATAGATGGATGAATGATGCCCTTTCAAACAGGGCTTCTATTCATCTGCCTGTAACTTGCCATTTTGATTTGCTGTTCTTTAATCCATTACCAGTTCTTCAATTTGAAACAGATAATCTCTTGTGCTCCCTATAAAAAATGGTTTTCATGAACATATTGTCCACTACTAAGCTTTTCCAAGTAAATATATGCATTTTAAAAAATCATATACTTTCTCTGGTACAGCTTCTTGGAGATTTCTTTTATTTACTGATCACTCATCGGCCCTGCAAGCTCCAGAAGAAGCATGCCAGAATGTGTTTTTAAAAGTTATAGTAGTTTTTATTGCATCTTGCCATCTGTTCTCAAACTGCTTTTGGCTAGCCTCATTCTACTTTTACATCTAGTCTTCCAGAGTGTGCCTCCAAACAAGGAAAGCAGGAGGATGTGGTTTTACTTCTAATAACTTCCTATAGATTGTTCTTCAGTCATAACAACTTACTTTCAATCTTTCTAAAATTATTTTGACAGATGGTAGGCATTTTCTAGAAGCTTCCAGCATGGCATTTTAAAACAGTTCCCGTTCTACTGGCAAAGATTTTAGTCTTCTAGCTACTCCTCTTATTAAACTAGATTCTTCATTTTATGCAGTTGTCCATGTCTGACATAAAGCACCAGGAAGTGAAATTTCAGGCTTTTGTGGCTCCTGCGATGATGATGAAGTAAAGCACTGTAACAGCACAGCTCTTCAAGAGCAACATGAGAAACACAGTCCTAGATGCTGCTGAGCATCAAAACAAGAACTGCTTCTTCTCCTGCACAGAAGATAAAGATTCAAAGATGCACATGTTGTTCTTGGGTGAAAATCTAATTCAAATGCAGAATGTGGTAGGAATTAAGAGTAGAAAAAAATTAACATTACAAGCACTACTACTGTGAAGGATCAGCATATTTCAAGACATACTCCTCCCCCCCTCCCCCCAACAGAAATCGTTTAGGGTCAGAATCACAGCATTTGATATAGAGTTTTAAAAAGAAAGATATTCTTAACATTTCTAAATAACTCCTTCAGCCCTGCAATCAGAACTCATTCCCCAAGAGGAAAAAAAATATTTGACTTAGTGAATGCAAGAACAATTTTCCCTGTTGGCACAGCTTCTGCAGCAATTGGAAGGGACAATCAGTTTCTGAAAGTAAATGCTTTGAAGGTGTCCCACTTGCTGCCTTCCTTTAACAGCACTTGCAGAAAAGGAGATGCCAGGAGAAGGCTCTTGAATTAGCATCTCTGCTTGTAGAGAACCTATAAAGCAACAGCAATATGTCGGATGGAGCATTCTGAGGCCAGAAAAGTCCTATATAATGATGGCAAACAAGCACAGAGAGTCTGATGGGCATAGCTGAATAAAACTAAATTAAGGCCACAGCTGGTGATGCTGGCAAGCATGCCACAGAATCATCATCCCAACAGATGTTCCTGGGAATTCTTTTATGATTTAAACTCGAATTTCCCAAGTAAAGAGCTTTAAAGAACCACAAAAAGAAGAAACACAACAATGCTGAAAAACAATTATGCTCATCTAGTCACTGTGTGCAGTCCTTGAGGAGCAGCATCCCAAAGCTGGCTCAAAGGCCAACCTAGGCCAGAGGTGGCTAGCTCTGCTTTTGCCTTGGTTCAACTTTGGGTGCAGAAGGAAGAGTTGAATGTCCAAGACCAGTCAAGTATCAGCAGAGCTATACTTCTGTGTGTCAGCCAAGGATCAAACAAGATTACATTTCCAGGTATATCAGTATTCTTGAAGAGGTTACTTTTAGGTTTACTCCTTTTGAAAGAGCAGTGGAGACCAACACAATGCAGAACTAGGCTCACAATTCCCTGGATGGCATGACCGCCTCTGCTCAGTTGGCAGCAGTAGGGCATTTAAGACCCGCAAGGTTTCTCTATGTGGACAAGGCACTAAGAAAGCTATAGGCAGAAGGCAAAAGACTTGATTAATATGTTCCCAAAGACAAGATAACCTTCCGCAGCTCCCTCAGAGGAGTCATCAATAAAGCATCCACATCCACTGGAACAAGAGGAACCTCCAAGAAAACTCAAAAATAACTACAAAGCAAATCTGTTGTGTTACTGATTCCTCCCTTCTTCTCTTCATCTTTCCCCAGAAATTTAGTTCTTCACTTCATTCTAGTGAAGTAAGACATAGGAAATCAATGCAGCAAAACTGACACCCAAATTAATTTGTAGCGGTGAGGAAAACAAAGATCATGTTATACTTAACATCAGCTATCCCAGAAAGAAAACCCTGTTACTACATGTCTCACATCACCATATCCACTAGCAGTCACTTACCAGAAGATTGAAGCCATGTTTGAATTTTTGGAAGCAGTCAACAAATTCATCTGGAGGTGGTGGTTTTGCACGGAGAGTAAGAACCCCCTCTGGTGAACAAAATTTTATAAATCCATTTATATGGTATATAATTTCTATAAATATTACAGGTATAGTAAACATAAATACATAATAAATTTACCAACTTAGATAGTTTTGTAAATATAGAACCCACAACAGTGAGCATATCCCACAGTCATATCTCTAGTCACTCCCCACCGAATTTAAGCACAAAAAATCCTTGCTTCAAGTGAAAGAAAACAACCACATTCATGAAAAAACAACATGAAAAGACACATTTGCTTGCTACTTCAATAATCCTTAGAGAAACAGAATTGTGTGCAGTAAGAACTACTCCTACCTCCAGGTCCTTTCTTTTTACTTTTCTTCGTTTTCTTCCTCTTCGAAAGTTCAGCAAAGGCTTCAGCAGCTTTTTGAAGTTTGGTTACAAAATACTCAATGTCATCCAAAATATGGTTCAGAATTTGCTATGGGAGAAAAGAAAAGTAACAGTTTCTCTACAGAAACTATAGCAGAAATACTCCAGAAATCAAAACGCCTACACTCTCAGAGACCAACTTTGTCCTTGGAACAAAGCCCATGCTAGAGCATTGCCTATTTAGATACATTATGTTCTTAACTTTACACACCTGTAAAGTACTTTAAATCTTAGATTTTTAAAAACTTAGGGCCATAAAATATAAAACTTATATTTTAAAATATAAACATCAGAATTATTAAATTTGGATTGGAATTACAAAGTTTGTTCACACATCACATTTTCTCTCACAACACATGGAAAAATTCTAATTATTTATGTAGGACAGCATTTTCCTAAACAGCATAACTTCATCATCTCCTTTAGTACAAAGTATTAAGCTGTTTGTTGAATGGCAGAATGTGGTTTTATAGAAGCACTCTTTGAAGAACTGTTTTCAAAGAGCAAGTGGAGGAGAATGAAGGAGCTCCTGGGGAAAACATGTATACCAATTCAGCAGGCCCCAACATGCTTTCCTCAAGACCCTTGGATGTGGCTGAAGGCAACATCTGAGTAGAAAAGTAGAAAGTTTGAACTGACAAATGGGGCAGTATTTGATATCGCGTACAACGTAAGACCTGCCCAAAGCTGTTGCATATAGGCAATATCAGAAATGACTCTATGTTCATTTTCCAGATATCACATATACTTAAGTAACACTAAATTAATGGAATTTAACTTTATCCTTACACAGTTTGCTGAATTTTGTCTACCACACAAAATTAGTATTTATATTTCTAGCTCTTCAGAGCAGAAAACTTGGCATCAATGTTCAATACCGTTTTGTTTTGGTTTGTTTTTAAAGACAAAAATAAGAAAAAGAAAAACCACCTATTCATTTTTAAGGTCTACCACTCAAACATAGGCTGCCTGGAAAGCTTTCCTGCAGAACTGAATTCTTCACACGGAAAAAGCCTTCCCACGAAGTAGAGCTGCAACAATTCACAGACATTAAGCAATATTGCTTGTAGTTTCTCACTTACAACATCTCTGTCAATCCTGGCTGCTATCATCTCTGCTGTTTCTTCATGATCCTGGTATGGTCTATGTTTTTCAACTGCAGAAAAGGGAAGAAGAGAATAAGACATCTATATACACAGAATTAGCAACCAACACTTCCTATACAGCTTATGCTTGAAACCATACTGCTGTGAGAAACAGACAGAAAATATTTGTACCATTCACTTTGCAAGGACTCCACAGAACCTGAAAATCTTGCATCCTAATGCCCAGTGCTGGCAAGCCTCTCAAAAAAAAATCTTAGGTGCATGCTTTCAGTCAAGGTAGCTGCATAAATGAAGTTAACCACAGAAGCATGCTACCAGGGTCCAAATCAAAAAATTACAGCAGAAAGTAGCAGGTTATAAATATAATGAGAAACCATCCCATTTTGCACAATATGCTGAAAGGTACTCCAGCAGAACTAAGCAAGAAGGAAAGTGTAGCCACAACTTCAAAGACAATTTTGATGGAAAAGGTAATAAGAGAAAAGGGACGTAGGAATTTGGACAGAGAGACCACGTCTGGCAACATAGAAATAGGAGGTAATGATGCGATAAAACAAGTATTTCCAAATACCAATGGACAGAGTCAGTGCCTTTTATTCTAAAAGGACAAGGTTAATGTTTTGAGAAATTATAGTTTTGAATTTTTAAGTCACACTAAATACTGTATTGCTTTTGTTAAGAGGTGAGATTTTAGTAAATACATTTTAGGAAAGATCCACATGAGTGGAACAAAAGGAACTGCAGTAACTCAGGTCCAGAAGTGGCCTGGCAAGATAGACCACTTGAAGAACTAATGAAACTTTTCTGAAGTTGAGAAGTCATCAAAAGAAGAACAAACTAGCCTTTACTCAAGATAGATGTAATACTGCAGGTTAGTAGATGAAAACATTCTTAACATGACAGGTTTCTCTGAACATTTTTAGTTGTTTACTTTGCATAGTTGTGTACTCTGTTGAGTGATACAGTTTAATAAACCAAAAATAATAAAGACTTCATGGTTAATGACTTCTAATTCTAAAATTTTAGTATCTGTTATTAAAAAAAAAAAAAAAAAAAAACCTAAACCAAACCCAAATCAAAAAAGGTCTCACCTTAACCAAGATTATTCCCTTAATACATCCTGTTTTACAGATGGAACTTTATTGTTTCTAAAAAATTTTTTTTTCAAAGAAATATGATCAAAATAAAAATGTTTCCATCAGAGATGTAAAAAAATAAAATAAAATCCAATCCTACCAGAAAAGCTACAGCATTCTTTGGTTAGGGCTTTAAAACAGAAAAAAAAACAAACCAAAACCCCCAAAAAAGGAAAAAAAAGAAAAAAAAAAAAAAGAAAAACCAACAAAACCCACTAGTTTAGCCATACAGGCCATTATAAAGATAAATATAAAATAAATAAATAATGCTGATCTCTAGTCACCTTTTAATCCATGATTATATCTTTTAATTGTCCAAAATATCTGGCTTATGCTCTCCCTATTACTAAAGACAGCATCATTAAATTAACAGAGGTATGACAGTACTGATTACTGTGAATGTTACTACGTTCACAAAAAGACCCGCAGGTTAAAACCCGAAGCCCACACCCCCACCCAGCTAAACACAAGTAAAAGAAGCTCTGAACAGCAATTCAGAAAATGGGTAAGTGCAAGTAAATGACAAGTCAGATTATGACAGTCAGGTCTTATTCCCCAGATCAGGCAACAGTAGCTTGGGGCATTTCAGACAAGACTCAAAGAATAATCTTGTCTGCTCTCAGCAAGGACAGAGGGGTGACCTGCTACAACCATTTCTGTATCTGGATTCAGTTACAGTAATCTTTATGAAAGTGGGCATTCCAAACTATTTTTGTTATTACCGAGCATCATAAAAACCTACTGCCCAAAACAAATGTTTGCCAGGCTCCCAGGAATACTCACGGTCCCCCTGCTCAGCGGCCCATGCGGACCACGCTGCCACGCGGCTTCTCACGTCCACTTGGGTGATGGTTCCCGGTGGCACAGGGGCAGGTGCTCGCGGCGGCGGCGGGATGGTGCTGTCAGCTTTGGATATCATTCTAGAGGAAGAGAAGAAAGCCCACATGTGACACTTGAAGGAAAAACGTTCTATCTTCTAGTATCTAATTAGAGAAGACAAGGAGGCTTCACAAGGACCCCCTTCTACTGTTGAACATACCATGGACTTGCCAAGTAAGCAGTACTCCAGACCATTATGTGTAAATATAGTAGGAAACACACTCCATGATGGGGTTCGCAAACCTCTGTCACCTGGCCACATGGGAAATCCTCAAGCCGTGCCACAGAATATTATGTCTAGAGACTTGCCAGTTTACACAGGTAAATACAGTGGCTTGGGTTTAGCATATGGCATTTTTACCACCCTGTCGTTTATGGCTGGACTTCCATTTTATGTGAAAGTCTTCATTAGAAGTTACCTTTCAAGTCATCACAATTGAGTATCTGTTCCCTAAATTTGACAGGTTGCCAACCACCTGCTTCTTAAAACCCTACCAACAAACCAATTAAATTTACAGCCTGATTTTCCTTTTTGTATCAGTGACCTGTTCATCCTGTCTTAATATAAATGTCTCATGTTCCCACCTGCAATTTTCCAGTTTTCTTGTTCTGAATCTAGTTTTGAATACCATAAGGAAAGCGGTCTTTGAATTCATTCTGCAACTTGAGACCAATGGACAAAAAATCCCAACAACTGCTGTCATACACACATCCCATCCCTTCTCCACACCCCTATTTAAAAGCAAGATCTTCTCCCTGAATCAATCTCTTTATAATCCTCTCTCATTCACGGCATTCAGCAACAACACTTCAAGTGTTATTCGGTTTTTGAAGACCAAACAAAAAAATGTTTCCTTAACCTTTCCTTCCTCCAATTTCCTGTGCACTCTTCTCCATGTGTCCCACACTTCTACTTTTCAATAACCTTGCAGCAACTTGATAATGCAATGTCAGGCAGGAGGGTCTCTCCTCGTGACCCGATGCCAGTATGTACATGATACGACAGCAAGTAACCGGTGCCAAGCTGTCACACACTCATCGCTTTTTGGCCTCACAGCCCTTGCAGACTGATATCTCAGATCATTTTTCCCACCAGATGTACTGACCTACCTTCTTTTCCCAATTAAATTCATTAGTTTCCCAGCACATCCAATGTGTTTGAGTCCTTCTGGATTGCCTCTTTGTGCTTATACCTGGTTTGTTACAGTCCCACAGTGAAGTCTACTTATTTAGTTTTAAACCCACAGATAAAGTTAGATACAGTTCAGTTTTTGTTTTGGTTTTATAGAAGTGTCCATTACTCTAGGAAAACTTCATAAGCTGCGCATCAGAATTTAACAGGTAGCTAAGACTGTTATAAACTCATTCATATAATGGTGACATTTTTACTTAATGATTTTTGTCCAGCAGAGATTTCTCTACCTGAACCACAAAACTAAGTATTATTGAGGGATACTGTCAGGATGCAGTTACATACTAACTTTTCAACAAACCACCACCATTACTATTCAGCATCTAATATATTTGTGCCTCTTGTTTTTCCATCTCTGTTGGCTACCTCTCATTTCTGTATTAATCTTCTCTGATCCAAACAAACTCTTTTCCTCCACATTTTCCAACTGGGAGAGAAGCTTTTGCTACCAGGGAAACAAGGAGATTTCAGCATCGTTAACCAGGCAGGCAGGAAGATTACTCAGTCTTCAGTTGCTGTTTTACTTAACATCTTTAGATCCCAAAACCTTTTATCATAATCTTACTTGGAGCTGTGGGGCATTTATTTTTTTAATTTAAAGCCTGAACTACTCGACCCATACGCAGAACTGAGACATGCAATGCTATTCTCTGGCAAGTGGTATTGATGTCAGCTGTTCCCGTCACCAAGGTGGAGTTGGGAAAGGTAAGAGTGACGCTATAAATTGAGAGAGTATGAGATAATTATTAAAGTAAGGCTTCTACACGTGGTTTTGGAAGTATATTATCAAATAGCAAAAAAGAGCAAAAGACAGCAGGCAGACTTGGGGAGCTTCTGAATGCTGTAATGCTATTTGATGAGCCTATATACTGTCAAGAAGTTAGGTTTTTACCTCAGTGTTTCAAGCCTCTTCTTTTGTTTCCCACTTTTGCTGTCACTGATTGCACTTTCAATATCTTCATGAATAAAGCTAGCCTAAAGAGACAGAAGCAGAAACCATCAGTTATCAGCTAGACCACACAGATAGGTGAAATAAAGATCTCCTCATGCACTTTTTTTAGGGCATCTTTAGATTTCAGAATACCTTTTCAAATTCCATTTATTTAAAAGTTCTGGCATAAATTATTTTACACATTAAACAGAACAAAGAAACACACAATGCAATTGTCTGGGAGTTGGTATTTTTGTCACTGTTCCAATCTCAAGCATTATCATCAGATGAGTATGTCATCTAGAAACCAAATTTGTCTGAACAGCTGTAATTATCTCAAGTCAACCATTATTGCATAAACTATTTTTTCCCTCTGCATACATCATTTTTGTTTTTCTCAAGTATGTTAGGGGAAACACATACTATTAAAAAAAAAAAGCTACTATAGATAGTAGCAGTATAGAGGATTAGGGAAGTAACTTGTAGTGATACAGTTTCCTTTAGGAAAAAACAATAGCCTCCAATTTCTCTCTGATGTAACAGAAGATGAATTTTTCAGAACATTTCTGAACCTGTAGGTTCCTGTCTTTCCATAACTACAGTCTGCCTCCACCAGTGGCCCAGAAGTGAAATTTTGATGCACATCTAAGGCATTATTTTAATAGATCTTGTGTTAAATAGGTCATGGCTTCTCATAGGATTTAGAATGCTCTGTTACATGTCTTCAGCTGACAAATTAATTTCATACACAGGTTGTCACAGCCCAAATCTGTCAGTGTCTGGCTCACTCTACAAGGTCTACAGCTTTCTTAGTATCCTTATAACGGAGAAGTATGTAACTTTTGGGGAGGAATATGTAAGTTCTGCTGGGACCAGAAGACTGTTGAATTTAGGATCCAAGAAGATTAAGGGACTTCTCAGGCTATAATGAATTGCACTACAGAATATGGATGAGGGATACACTAAGGTTAAGGAATTAACTGAAAAAACTTAAGGGGATTTGAGGAACTTAAACCTAGAAGAATTCCATTAATCATAATCTTGATATTTATTATTTAACAATTTTTTCTTTAGAAAATATTGAATGCCCCGAATAGTATGGATTTTGACTAATCTTTTATTGCAGAGGCTCCTGAGGTTCATGGTAACTTCTAATCAAAAGCAGGAAGAAGAAAAGGGAGAAAGACCTAATCTTTCAAAATCAGCCAAGTCTCATGGGTAAGGAACAAAACCTAGGGTACAGTCACAGACTCAAACAATACCTGAGAAGAAAAGGGGGATCCTGGACTTCCAAGTCATGCTTATGTGCATGCTCTGCATTTTTATTTGTACACAGAGGAACCACTTCAAAAGACAGAAGTCTGAAGAAAAGAGACCACCTCTACACTTCAGGAAGCTGGGTCCAACCAGACCTCAAAAAGGATCCCTGCATTATTTAACATAATGTGACCTGAACTTTTCACAGGATCCCAGTTTCTGTTGAGACATCAAATTCTATGCAATGAATCACACAATTAGCCAGTCATCTTCACACCACTCTCACTATACCAATTTCAAAATGGTTGCACAGTGTAATTAGCAATCTGTTGTTTTAAGACAATGATATGAACTACTACAAAGGAATTTTAAAAATCCCCATGAAATTATCAGCTGAAATTTAAAGAAATACCAATTATACAGAAAAACTAACAGAAATCAAAATTCATAACCCTGGAAGTAAAGAAATATTGCAGAATATATTAAAAATTATTTATGCTTGAAGGAAATATTTTAATCAGAGACAAACAATCTCTTTCCTTGTTTTGCCCCTCCTGCAAGTAATGTTTTCCTTTTCATTATCTCTCCAGCAGAGCAGAGATGTAGAGAGGTAAGAATGTAGAGAAGGTTTAATTGTTTGGTGACAAAAAAAGCAGCAAAAGGGGAAAGACTCGGGGCTCAGATGAGTTCTTTGCAGATTATAAAACAAATACGAGATAACTCAAACTATTTCACACCATTTTCTCTGGAAGTGTAAATGCAAACCACATACATATTCCAGAGCTTTACTCATTTGTGAATCTAAGTGAACAGCTACAGAGCCCAAGAATCAATATTTACAGTAACAACATATTTGAACATGCAGTAAGGATTCAGCTTACACACTGGACAACTCTCTTGCAAGACATACTACACTACATTTACTAACATACTGTAAGTAGTGTCAATATCATAAGTGCATTAAACTTAAAGCATATTTCTGAGAATAAAAGAACAGAATTATTTTCTATGAATCAGCTCATTTGATTTTATCCACCATACTTGCCAATATATATAGTTTCCCCTATTCAAAGAAGTCATAGCAGATCTCCATTACTACCTTACCTTAATCTCATCACATTGGAAAAGATGCAAATCAGGCTTGTTTTGGGTTGGTTCTTTACATACTAATGCAAGAATTGAATTGTAATTGCATGCATTCATCACAGCCTGGCAATGCTGAATTGTGCTTAAAGGAAAATTCTCCAGTTCATTCTGCCGGAAGAGAAAAAAAAACAAACACAAAACACCACCTTACTACAGTGTGTCCTGATCTCAGAGAAGCTGCACGAGTTAAAAAGGGAAAGTGATAATAAGCTAATTAAAATACTGACTCTCACATACATCATTTTTCTGCCTGCTCCCTTTTTCTCTCTCTCTGTGTCTCTGAAAATGAGACTGCCACTCACAGATCTTACCTTTGATTCCAAGTCCACCAAACTGACAGCTTTGTCATCTACTTGAAGAATCATATCTTGAGTCCACACTTTGCCTTTGGCATCCAGCAATTTCAGCTTCCTTATTCCATCATCTACTGTAATCATTGCCTCTTTTCGGTCCAGAACAAAGGTGGTCAAATGCTAGTGAATGGAACGTACATTTTAAAAAAAAAAAAAAAACCTGTAAATTTCCTTATTGCTCAGCAGTGTCAGTATGCAAATTTCCAGGAAAAAGCAATACAAATTATTCATGGACAAAAGTGCATTTGTATATGACAGATCCCACCAATAAGGCATAAAAGCAGTTGTTTAGTCCATAATGTCATTTTAAGTCAACTGATTTTTGTAACTTACTGTTTGTCATCCTCTGTCATTTCCTCACTACAGTAAGTGGTTAAGACTTGAAGACATATTCTGACATCTTTCAGGTATCAAAGCTAGAATTAAACCCTGACTACTTAATTAGCTTTCTTGAGGAGTGAAAACCTGTCTCTCTTGGCAAGCTGAATCCAGGAAGCGTCAGCAGAAGGTTCCCAGAAACACCCTGCCAAAGTACCTCCACCACCACCCTGACCTGGAGTGTCCTCAGCTCTTCCAGAGCTGCCAGCTAGCACGCTGATGGCAACCATGATGGGCTTGCATCTGACTGGGATACCTTATGGACAGGCTAGTTGCTTCTTTTATGTGGAACAACATAGAAACGTAGTATACTAACTACTATTGCTCACCGTCAACTTGTAATATTCTCCAGATTCAACTAATGGTCTAGAAATTAAATACTACCTCACAGACATCACCTCAACCAGCTTCCCTGTCATTATGGTTTTGACAATTTCTCCTGCAATACGCCAAGCATGCAAGAAAACACACAAAATTATTTAATTTTATCCAGGCATAAATTCAGCTTCACATTTTTATTGAAGACCTGGTTACAGTCATTCAAGCTGAACCAAATTTAATATATGCCTGCACATCTATCTTCTAAATAAATTTAAAAAAAAAAAAAAAAAGCGTGCTTTCTTCTATTACAGGATAACAGCACCTAGTAATGACAGACAAGACAGTAGATAAAGGCTGCATATAATCAAAATATTTAAAAGAAGTGAAAGAAACTAACTTGCTGCTCACACTGGAATGCTTAGACTCCAAATACAAGTACTAATTTTTATGCCAGTACAGTATCAAAGCCATTATGAAGAAACCAAGGAAAAACAGACAATTAGGAGCAATACAAGTGTTCATTTGCAAGCTGATCATAGGATAGAAGCACTTGAAATTAAGACACTTCTGCATATGATCTCACAACTTACAGTTAATTTAAAACCCAGCAAATAGGAGCCGAGAATCTACAGTATTTGCAAGACTTGGCTTAACCCATGACAGCAGTCTGATGGGAGTGGGAAAAAGTTTGCGCCAAAGTAAGAACACAGAATGAGGCATTGCTTCCAAAATGCTTAACAGGTACATATAGGTACCCAGGCTTACTTTGCTGAATATTTTAAATATATCTACTCCTGTATAAAATATGGCAGGAGCATGCAGTAATTCTGCAAATTGGCTTAAGACGGGAAGTAACACATTTTGCGCTTCGCACTGGGGAAGAACGCGTGCAGGCAGAATGTATTTGTTTAACTACTACATAATAGACTAACTGGGGCTTTTAGGGGTTAATGCTCAGCTCTTTCTGAATATTCTGTCGCTTCTGCTGATTATAACTGATCAAAGTACTCATTTTAAATATCATCCAGTGGGCCTCACCAACAGTACGGGGTTTTTCAGCTCTGCCTCATCCTTGCAACAAGCCAGGTTCAGAGACAGGGCAGTGTAACACTTTGAATTGATAACCCATTGAGAAGTCCTGTCTATTTGCCAAACTACACACAACTTTGCTTACATTCTTCCACATCGAAATTTCAGCTCATTATGGCAAAGCTATAGAATTTGAGACATTTCAGTGTAATCTATTCTGAAGTGACCTCGGGCTGGCAGGATATTTTGGAATATGCATATGCCTTCAAGCATACGTATCCTCAAAAATCATGGAGGCAAAAATAACTGCATGTAACTGAAAGCCTTAATTGGTATATCAATCCTCGTCTCACCTCTACGTGATACTGCGAAGTTTCGGATATGCTGCTGGCACTGTCTCGTGCATAATTCTTTCTTTGTTCTAGAGACGTAAGGAAAAGAAAGAACAATTATTCATTCAATTTCTTATCATGCTGTTTTGAATACTTCTCAGAGCTACTTAAGACTAGTTGTATATGAAAACAGAATATGAGCTTCCATTAATTTCTGAATCTCGACACAAAAAACCTTCACCCCCAGAGTCCAGCACAAGGATCATACTTACGTCAGCAATGTTAACAGAGTGCCGGAGGGTGCGAAAAAAAAAAGCCAGTTATTTCATCACAGTGAGTCAGGACACCGGAGGGGAGCAGCATTCTGACTGAAAATGCTTCATTGTGAAACCTGATTATTAAAGTCACTAGCTTGCCACTTCAGTGGCAATACGATAACTAGCGTCAGGCTTAGTGTGTTTGTATGAATGCACTTGAAAGCAAAAGTATTTTCTGAGATACAGATAATTCTCATGTTAAATCTGCAAAACAACAAAGCCACACACAAAACAGACTTGACTCATCCTTTATTTCTTCCTAAAGTGTATTCAATTTGATGAATTACTAATGTAGAAATACTCATGGAAAGGAGATTCAAAAGAAAAAAAAAAAAAGAAAGAGAGAGAGAACTACACACCAAATATCTCTAACCAGAAATATCTTTCAGCAAACAAAACACAATGCTGCAAAATCAGAAACGTCATTTGCCTTTTACTCTATGCAATAGCTTAATATTAAACCAGGAGAGGAGGGACAGGAAAAAACAAGATGAAGACACAACACACACCCATACCACGAAATAATGAACTTAGATGAATACTGAAGAAAACTTTTCAGCTTTAGTGGAAAAAAAATTGAATGCAACATTTGGAAGTTTTTTCTATTTTTTCACTATAATCACATATGTGCCTTATCTGGCATACCAAGACCTTTGTCCAAGGAAGAAAGTCACTAGATGACATGGCCAAGAACGGTCCAAGGAAACTCTACAGGTAGGCAATTCTTTCCTCTCCATTTCATTAAATAACTTGATTTCTGATCTTCAAGTAAAATAGGCAGTTTGATTTTGTTCAGAAGCAAGTACCTGATGTACATACAAAATATATGAATTTCATCATACTTGGGAGTACTTGGAGGTAAAATAGAAGTGTGTGAATCTGTTGACAGGAAAGTTACTTTTGCAAATAAAAAAAAATGCTGACTACTACCAAGCATGATCTGTGACATAGAGATCTGCAGTGAGGACACCATAAAAGTCATACTGTAAAAGTCTCTTCTGTGACCAGATAGTTCCTTCATACAGGAATTTCAGGTGCTGACAAAGCCACCAGCGACCTCATTTTCAGATGTCACTTGTTGAAGTATTTGTCACCTTTTATAATCACACCATTATCTCTGCAGTTCTTAGTGACTTTCATGAAAGACAATACAGTTTCTGAAATCCCTCCCTGGCTTGAAGCCCCCCTCCCATGATGACAACCACTGCTCATGCAACAGAGTCATCCTGCTCCTGTACAGCAACTACTCAGCTTGCAGGAGACATGTGCAGTGCAATCAGCCAAATTCAACATCATGGATTATCATAATTTTTAACTAGGTGTGTGAATATTTCAAAATAGATGTCTTACTTTCATTATCCATAATTTTGAAATCCCAGGGCACAGGATCTCCATTGATTCCAACTGTAACTACTATTTCTGCTTTTGCAGCATATTACTTTAAGTATTTTCCTGGTTGATTTTCTTTCTAACCACAATAGATACACACACACATGCACACCCCAACAAAACAGTCAGTGAAACAATACTGTCTCATTTACTACCTTTCTTTTTTTGTTTGGATGATGATCTGAAGAAGTAAAGGCCATCTGTTCCTAACAAAACAAGGGAATTACAAAGTAGTATCTAGTTTAAACCCATAGAATTATTTGCTTCTCCTAGGGAATCAGTTAACAGTCTTCTGTTATGGACTGTAAACGATAGTTAAACGCTGTCCAGTAAGGAAGAATATATGCTTTAAATAAATAAATAAATAAAATAGTCACTTATTTACTTCTTTCAACTAACAATCAATTTAAAGAAGGATAAGAATTTTTACATCCACTGTAAGATTTATAAATCCTGCAAACAAGAACAGTTGGAGTTGTTTTAAATAAACAAAGAAATCCTGGCATATGTAGAGGCTTCAAAGGAAGTAAAAAGCAGAGTAAGTTTTGCAAGAGATTCCTTACTCTGCTTCACAGAAATTTTGTCCTGTGTTAAGACAGGATATCCAAAACCATCTGTAGCACTGATTAACACGTCCTCTTCCACAGAGCAGCACAACACTCACAATAGACATGATGGCAAGGTTTTCAAAACACTATGTCATGGTGAGAACAATAGTGTTTATGTAAGAGATAGAGCTTTCTGAATGCTAATAAAATTTGCAGTTGCCTACACTTGAGAGCCAAGGAGAGCCCCTTAAGATCAGCATTCTTAATTACAACAGAAGAGTAATGAGAACTTCAATAAAATTTCCGATCAGCAAAAGCCAATCTGTGTTCGTGTTAATAAACAAAAAGTATGGTCACCACAATAACTGACAGTCCATACTGAGTTCAGCAGCAATTCCTATTTATCCATTTATTTCTTTAATGCAGGTAGAATGATTATTAGAACCTGCCAGAGATCCAAGTTATCTTTTAGCACAGAACAGAATATTTCAGTTAGAAGGGATCTACAAAATCATCTAGTCCAACTGCCTAACCACTTCAGTACTGACCAAAAGTTAAAGCATGTTATTAAGGGCAAATGCCTCTTAAACACTGACAGGCTTGAGGCATTGACCACCATTTCTTGTTATCCTGTAGGTCCTTCTACCAAAAGCCACCATGCAGACTTGGAGATTCCCTTTTCTGTGTGTCCAAGAAAGTGATAAATCTAAACTCCGCAGTTAAGCATGCAAACTAAAATTGGGGAGACTTCCAAGTCTTGTTGCAGTTACAGACCAAACCAAAATAAAGAGGGTACCTCACTGGCTCTTAAGCAGTGCTCAGTGCTGCAACTTTTACATGGTTTTGGATGAACTAAGTAGCAGCCTATAGCAACTGTGGATGTTGTCAACACTGCTATAGAGGAGCTGGAGATAGATACTATGGGTAACCGCTCCATCCTGAAATTATTCATCCTTCAAAATACATCTTCTAATAAGTACCCTAGCATCAGGCAAAATTCTTTCATTGCTTCTGGAAGGGTTTTTCCTCAACTTTTGTTTTTCAACCCTTTCACAATTCAATAGTTAGAAAGTGAGTGTCCTCTCCCATACAGGGTCAACGCAGCTGCTAATCACCCAGGCTCTCATGGTATTCTTGGCTGCTTGGCATAAATTGCATTGAAGAAAGAGTGAATAAAGTCCCCCCATGACAATATGAACGTAACACAAAGGGAAACAAAAAACAAAACAAAACAAAACAAAAAACTGAAGAAAGAGTGAATAAAGTGCCCCCATGACAATATGAACATAACACAAAGGGAAACCAAAACAAACAAACAAACAAAAAAAAAAAACAAAAAAAGGACCAGCATCTAGAAGGCATCCCCTTTCTCATGGTTTTTGTCAGTATCTCAAAACTAAATCTCAGACTTTGCTTTCTCCTAGTGCCTGGCTCATGACCCTGACTGAAGAAAGAGTGAATAAAGTGCCCCCATGACAATATGAACATAACACAAAGGGAAACCAAAACAAACAAACAAACAAAAAAAAAAAACAAAAAAAGGACCAGCATCTAGAAGGCATCCCCTTTCTCATGGTTTTTGTCAGTATCTCAAAACTAAATCTCAGACTTTGCTTTCTCCTAGTGCCTGGCTCATGACCCTGATTCTACCTACAAACCTCTGCCTTGCCCTCAAAAAGGAGGAGACAAAAATCCTTTTGCATGCCTGTCTGCTTATGTGCTCCACTGCCTTGAACTTCTATCAAAATTGATATAAACATGCAAACCTGTTTTACACCTTTCTCTACCCAGATGATAGGAGAGTGCTGCTGCTTCTTCCTACAACACTTCCACGTTTCCACTTCCAAGTCAGATATATCTGAGCACGTGACTCTCTCAGGCTTTTTCATCCACATACAGCTCCTTATTTTCCTTCTTCTCCTACAGAGTTGCCTACTGTCATTCTTCTGGAAACATAGCGTCCATCTCCTCAACACTTTCACTTATCAAAGTAGCTGATTAATATTCATCAATGTTATTATGACTGCTTTACAGAAACCCTGAGAACGCCTCTTGATTTATTACATGATCTTCAAATGTAAGGAACTCACACCCTACTATTGGAGACGAGCAACAGAATTTGCTGACTTACTGAACGTACTAGGTCTGGCTGGGATGGAATTAATTTTCTTCACAGCAGTCTGCATGGTCCTGTGTTTTGGGTTTGTGACCAAAACAGTGTTGATAACCCAGGGGTGTTTTAGCTGTTGCTAGACAGTGTCAAGGCCTTCTCTATTTTTCATTCTGCTACCCCAGTGGGTAGGCTGGTGGTGCACAAGAGGCTGGGAGGGGACACAGCTCGGACAGCTGACCCCAACTGATCAAAGGGATATTCCATACTGTATAATGTCATGCTCAGCAATAAAACTAGTGGGTAGTCTTTCCGAAGTAGCCCTTGCTCAGACACTGTCTGGGCATCGGTCTGCTTGTGGGAGGTGGTGAGTGATTGCCTTTGCATTACTTAGGGTTTTTTCCTTCCCCCTCTTTCCTTCACTTATTAAGCTGTCTTTATCTCGAGCCATCATTTTTTTCTTGCTTTTGCTCTTCCAATTCTCTCCCCTCTCCTGCTGCAGGAAGGAGACAGGGGGAATGAGCAAGCAACTGGGTAGGTCCTTAGTTGCTGGTTGGGGTCAACCCCTGACACCAAAAAAAAAAAAAAAAATGTTTTGTATGCTCCATTTCACTCTCCTAATCCTCCCAATCAATCTCAGCCTCTCACAGGTCCCTTCATGCGTGAAGAGAGTTGTTGAAGCTAAAGCGAAATTCTGCAACAGACACTTTAGATAGGATGTATAA